CATTCCTGCTAATGCAAACACACAAGTAATGTGACACACTTCCTCTCTCGCAGTGCTCCGGAGAGCGAAGAAAGTGATGATGGGAAGAGAAACGCACACAGAATGAAAAGGCAGGACAAAGGAAACATGTGCACCATCTCTCCAACTGGGAGCAAAGTGCTGCAATTTAGCTGCTCTTTAACCCAGCAGCCGGAATTTTCCCATCACATCACAGCAACATGTGACTCACCGGGCCATCTGAGTTAATCTGATCACAGAAAAATGACTCATGGTTGATTATTAGAATATCATCAGAGACAAACCAGCTTTGTGAATGTGATGTGAGCGGACCCAAGCACAGAAGTCCCCCCCTTCATCTCATGACTAAAAGCTCTGCATACGCAGCACGTCACAGTTGGTGCAGAGCGAGGACTTCTTCAAAAGTGCAGTTTATTTTTGGGGGAGCTTCACGTCTGCTGCCACCGGCTAATAAACAAGCTGCACAGCGCCGCCTGAAACCGACCTGAAGTAAAACCGTGACTCCCTCTGTCAAAGCTCAACACCCGGTCCAATGAGATGTTGGAGGAGGCCTTCAGGAAGCACCTCGAGGCAGCTCACAGCTTTCAGAGAATACAAAAAAAAAGGAGTTTATTTCTATTGCTGAGACATTTTCATGGGGATTTGGGTGTGTTGTGCAGATTTAATGCGGGAATACAGGATGTTTGTGGTGCTTGTGGTGAGTTTGGCCTTTGCGAGTGGCGAAATGTTACACTTTGAAGCAGTTGTGATGCGAAAAAGTTACGAGGCTTTATTATCAGATCAAAGCTGCGCATTTGCACAATCGGACTGGCTTTTGCAGATAAATTCTTAGAAAATCCGTCACTTGTCACAATTCAAGCTGCTGAATCATTTATAGCGACGACCGTTATCTATTACTGCCGCATATAGGCTCACACTGATCATGTGGGGAGGGGAGATAGCCGCAGCACAAAATGCCAAAAGCCTCAGCTGGGCTCAGCCGTCCGCTTTTTGTGCTGAAATGAGGAAATCCTGGGGAAAGACTCATTTCATTCAGCTTTCACTCCATTAAAAATGTTGACTTTTTCCCTCATTCTGTGATTGCGGACAGCCCACGTATCCTGTTGTGTTACCATCTAACTGATGACTGCCTGCAGCTTGTCAATCTGACTCCCATGCAAATGAGAGCAGCGTGACAGGGGTCATTAAATCTTGGTGCTTATTAGAGAACTAATGGTCGAATGTAATGATCCGATAAAATGTTTCTCTGCGGTTTGAAGGACGATGCACGTGGCCTGATGGTGACAGGAGGGGTGACTGTTTGCACAACGGAACTAAATTCACTTGAACAGCAGCTGTGGCTTGTAAAAAATCTCTTTCTCCACATATCTGATGTGACATTTTTGTTCTTTTTTGGGGGGGTTTACAGCAGGGGAACACTGTAACACGCCCTGTGACAACCCCCTACATTTCTATTGAAATGTTAAAGGCATAAAAAGCTCTCTCCAAGCTGACCGTAAAGAAAGCTGAGACTGTAATCTATAATTTAATCAAATGACTTATCTGTATTCCTGACATATCCCTGCCACTGCCTGTCAATGGATGCACAGATAAGCGTGTTAATTCACGTGTTTTATGTGATGTGCCTCAGTGCACGAGTCCAAATCGTTGGCTTTTCAAAGCAAAAAAAACCACATAAGCCACATGAGATGAATAAAAGAATGTTAGCACAGCATGAAAAAAAAAACGAGGGGACATTTTTGAGAAATAGGCTTTTTGCAAAAAGCTAGATGAGAAAATCAATACCGCTGTCATGTTCTCACACCAGATATGAAGCAGCAGCTGGTAGCTTTGCTCGGCCTAAAGAGCGGAAAGGGAGGGGAGGGAGGTTGCACTTTGATTTGAGTTTCTGAGCACAAATAACAGCTCAATCACTGTAACGGAGGTCCAAAGAGGCCAAATCATCTGTAGCCAAAGTGCCGTCATGTGGACTGGAAAATAGCAGCGACAACAAACACTAAACAAGATGCGCCGAGAAGAAAACAGAGTCTGCAGCAGTCGTGTGTTGGATAAATGGTGTAGATGCTGCTGATTTGGATGTAAAGTTACAACATTTGAAACAAGATATAAAGTCAATATATGTTTTTTGTGTTTTTGTCTTTAGCATGCATGAATACTGCATCATGTATATTCTCAGTTTGACATGCAGACATCCTGCAGTTTGTCTCCCTCCGCTGTGTTTTACAGCCTCCCTGTCGTGCCGGCGACAGGCCTGCTTATCCTTCATTAATCTCTCCCCCCTGCTTTTACCCCCCACTTAATGGTGACGTTTATCCTATTAATGTGTTGTTGTTGCTGGAAAAATCCCCCAATAACATAATCCAGAGTCAAGGTTACTAATGTATGTGTGTGTGTGTGTGTGTGTGTCTCCGCTGTGTGTGTGTGCAGAGGCATGGTTGCCATGGAGTCGGTGATTAATTGATGGAGGAGTAAAATCGGTGTGAAGATGATGAGCAGAAAGTGGAGGGAGTGAGTGACGTGTTTAAATTTTACATTTCCCCTCAAGTTGGCAGTAAAAATTCTGCGTTAGCTGTTAGTCAACTGTCAAAACGTACAATACTGCACTCCAGTGTTCACGAGCTCAACTGCAGCTTGACGGTGTCGCTGCTTAAAAAAGGGAAAAGCAATATTTTATTAGTAATAGCAGAGCTGTATGGAGGCTTTACATGAGTAAAATTACCCAAACTATAAGAAAAATTACAAATTAAAGCCTGGCATGCAAAAATATACTTGTGAAGGACAAAAGAATTAACTTCTAAGTAGTGTCAAGAGTAGACATATTCTTTATGCAGAGACGTTCCGTTCAGTACATTATGTTATCATGTCATGACATAATTAATATACATGCACTAACACATTAACACCAAAAAGTAAAAATGACTTTCACACTGTTTGGTTGTTTCCTTTGTAAAAAAAATAAAATAAAAAAAGTACCATATTTTAAAATGTGAGCTCATATTTTGCTTGTAAATGTCGTTTTTGCAAAGAGATTTGAAAGCCTTGCTGTTCAATGAATGCAGTGAAGAAAAAATATTTGCCTCTAAATAGTGGTGAATAAAAGTATTAAAAATCTAAATACTGAAATACAGTGTCTCAGAACTGTACAACTGTAATTGTGTGAAATTACTTTATCCTGGGAGTTTAGCATTTTAAATGTAATTAATTAGGAGACCAAATCTTTAAAGCTCAAAACAAAAATACAGTCTGCTTAAAATGTTGCATTAATGTGACCAAAAAACTTATTTAGCTGCTAGTAATAGGAATAATTAATATTAAGGTCATTACTCAAAAAACTTTTTACACAGTTGTCATTATCACCAACCCCCAAAATACTTATATTTATTTTTCTGTTCTATTGCTTGCTCTCCATCTGCTGTCCTTTTTTCCCTACCACCCCTCATCCCCACTCTCACCCAACCGGTCGAGGCAGATGGCCGTCTTCCCTGAGCCTGGTTCTGCTACTTTGGATTGTTGGGTTCTCTGTTTAAATTTGTAAGGTCTATACCTTACTTTGTTAAGCGCTGTGTGATAACATGTTGTAAACTATACAAATAAAATTTAATTGAAAATTGAATTGAATTCTTTTTTTCAAAGTGGTGATGAATTATTTTTGTTATTTTGTGTTTTTAAAAAAAACTAATCTGTTGCACTTCTAATTATATTACTTTTGCATTAATTTGCATCATTGCCTGAGATGTATTGTAACATTATTTCCAATTAAATATTTCATGTTAAATATTGTCCAAATACCAGCATAAACCTCTATCCTGATGAGGAGGACATGCAGAGGATCTTTCTTTGTGCTCTTGGATAAAATATTATCACAATGTCAGAAACCAGCTCAAAGAGCTTTTTACAGAAAAATGCTGCAGCAAGAACAGTCATCATGTAGAGCTAGTAGGTTACACTGCCTCAAAATAAATGTAGCACTGCAATGAGATGATTGATTTTATCAGCCGTAGTGAGTTAAATGACTGGATTGTGCATGTGATGATAGTAATAAAACACTCGGCAATGCACTACCTGTAACATTAGAGGTTGTTGTTCTGAAGTTTGCTAGTGAAAAAACTGTATTTTACTTATAATACATAGTGTATCGTCCCATTCATCCTTCACCTGTAATCAGTGGTATAAGTCAGTGTATTCCAGCAGTGTAGGCAAAACTGAGGGACTTGGAATAAGTTAATAAGAACCAGAGATTATAATGCATCAAAATAAAATCATGTAAATGAATACAACAGTCAGCATTGGTTAAAAAAAACAAACAAAAAAAAAAGCCAAACAATAAAAGCAAGTTTTAAGAAGAGCTTTAAAAACATGGTGTTGAGTTTATTTTATTTATCTTTATTTAACCAGACAAAAGACCCATTGAGATCGAAACCTCTTTCACAAGGGCGACCTGGCCAAGAAAGGCAGCAGCACCAGTCCACAAATAAACACACAAGAGTCACAAAGAAGCTCCAGCAGGGTCGATCACAGCTGAGACCAGTAATTAAATATGAAAATAACTCACACACAATAATATAAAGACATAACAACATTGCATCACACAAAAAAAATAATATTAAAAAACAAAAACTATTGGACAAAAACCTGAAATTAAACACTAAAAGAGTGACAGTAGATATCTAACTTTAACAGAGCTACATATAAATGTACTTTCTCCTACAGACAGCCGGAAGTAATACATAACTTCTGCAATAAATAACCCTTGATGCGGTTATAATGTCGAGGTTTATCTGAGAAGTCTTGCTTTGACCCTCTGACCCTGTGCTTCCGTGTGTGGCCCAGTGCCGGACCTCTGGATGTGTCCCCGGGTCGACCAGCAGGTGGCGGCCGCTGACCGCGCTGCTCTGAGCGGACCTCTCTCTCCGCCGCTTCTCCCAACTGTGGGCGTTTTTTTTTCCCTCAGTCTTGACTCCAGAGTTTCCTTTTTCTTTTTTTTTTTTTCCTCTTTCTGGGTGTTGCCTGCCTGCTTTACAACTTTGGAGTTTCACCGGGGTGTTGCCGACAAGCAGAGACAAGCCGGGCCAGTTCCTACAGCAACATTTTAAAACTTTTTGGACCTTTTTTTTTTTAATTATTGTGTTTAAAGCTGCAGTTTTCCAGGCGACGCCGGACCGCTTTATTTTAGCCGCCGTTAGCCTGCTAAGCTAACCGCCATCGAGCTGCTGTACCGTCGGCTGGGTTGCTAACGAGAGAGCCGTCCGATGCAGGCCATAAAGTGTGTGGTGGTGGGGGACGGGTAAGTTAAAGTACATTTATATTCTCACTTTGACCTCTGTAATGCCGCCGTTTGAGCCGTATTGTAGCCGGTAAAGGCTAACGTGGTTGTTTGTGTTGACCCAGTTACCAACAGTTGGCTAGCGGCTAACGAGCCTCAGATAACATGCCAACATGAGCGACAGCTGTTGTTGTGCAGTCTGCTCTGCAGTCCAGCTGGGTCAGACAGATTTATCTACATGCTCCGGTTAGGTGTGACTGAAGGGGTCACAGCATGGCGTTTATTAGACATGACAGGCCGCCGTGTTGACAACCTGCTATTTAATAGCTCTTCCTATATGAACGTGTGTGATTGATGGTTGTTGGGTTTGTGTCTAAAAACCTTGTGGTGCCTCCTTTGTATGGTTCCATCAACTACACAGTCACAGGAGGCCTGAAAGCAACTTTGACTCTGATGTTGTTTGAGGCCCCAATCAAAATGTGTAAATATCAAAAGTAGCTGATGGAACAGTCTCACCATCATCATCTGTAATGCCATAAATCCAGTCCATGTGGTCTTGATCAGAACAGAGCAACATCCTCACATTTACAGGCACTTTATAACTATTGTCACTTATTGTTGAAAGCAAATGACATGATCTTGGTTGTATGAAATGCATGACTCCTCCTGGGGCGTAAAAAGCTGCTTGAAGTGGTTGTTCTGACAAGGGTTAGTACAAAATGTGACTTTTGGAGTCTCGTTCAAAGTAAGATTAGAAAGTTAAAAGTTTAAAAAAAATCAAAGAAGGGGAGACAAATATCACTGTTAAATGTCCCTGGTTGAAAACTTACAATAAGGCATTAAAGTTAAAACATGCAAGTGAGGTATTATATATGTCTAGAATCACACAAAGTAAGTGTATTTATTTCCCGAATACAGATTAAAGCCAGAATTAGCTTTTTCCTTTCATTTTATTGCCAAAGGTTTTACAGAGAGGATTTTGGATATCACTTTTTATCATTCTATAAATTCAGAAATATGGTGCACATGCAGGAAAAAAAAAAAGACTTCAGAGCTAAAACTTTCTATAAATCAGAGCCTGAATGATAAATAAACAAACCCCTCAGTAAGCAGCTTCATGTATAAGTGCTATTGAAGTGGAAATTTCCAGACGGTGATTGTGAGGAAAGACTTAATTTGAAGAAAACCACATTTAAATGTGTTTGATATAATTAAAATCTACCAATGCAAACAAGCAGTGTATAATAAAATGCACCCCTAAATGTGTATTATGGATGTTTTCTTCTCCCTAATCTGAAGGAAGAGATGTTAACCGGTGCATAAAAACAACTGTTTCTTCCTGTATTGTCTCGCCTTAAACTGAAGAATGGAGGCGTTAAATGAAATAGTTTGCAAGCAGATAAAGACCTAATGTCAGTGTGTTGTGTGTTCGTGTGTTGAGAAAATCAAACCAAACTTGAATGATCACAGTTCAAACATCTTTTTAAAAACATTTTAAAAAGTTTAGACTGATGATAGTTCCCAACTAGATGGTATTTTATCACTCTCGTATATATGAAAACAAATACTGATACCAATTGAGAATCATAAGTGATCGGATTTAGCGACTATCTTGATCCACTTTCAGTCCTACACAGCACTTTGTAAACTATTTGTGCATGTTGTTAGTCTCCCAGTGTTCTTGCTGTGTGCCTAATGTTTCTATCCCTTGAGAAAAAGCTATTTCAGGACAACACTGGGAACGAGCAGAATGTACTGGAGCCTGTCGAGTTATTTTTGAAAAAAACAACATCACAACTTACTGAAGCGCCACGAGAATGTCAAGCATATACTTCCATTGTGGTTCTTGTTAGAGAATAAGTAAAGTGACAGAGCTTTTTGGATTAAACTTGTCCTACGTGATGTGTTAACCTGTCGGGCAAGATGGGCTACACTGACTATGCAAAAAAAGTAGCTCAGTAGTTGCTGTAAATTCACAGAAGACTGTTTTGTAACTGCGGAGACAGAGAGGCGTCGTGTAGATCAAGCCTTCAGTTCTCCTCACTGCATCATTCTCTTCTCTCTCCTCTCAGGGCTGTGGGTAAAACATGCCTACTCATCAGCTACACTACCAATGCCTTCCCTGGAGAGTACATCCCCACAGTGTAAGCAACACACACACACACACAGATGAACACACACTTCATGACCAGCTGTGATGTATGATCATTGGAAATGTGGCAGGTTTCACATGATGAAGGTAGCCTCCTGGTGCGATGGGATGGAAACAACTACATTTTCATGAGCAGCTTATTTGTTTACTGTCTTGGAAAGTACAACATTGTACATTAAAAGCATTACTAATTGGTTTGATTTGGAATCTGATGTTCACTTCTCTACCTACAGCTTCGACAACTACTCCGCTAATGTGATGGTCGATGGGAAACCGGTGAACCTGGGTCTGTGGGATACAGCAGGGCAGGAGGACTACGACAGGCTCAGGCCACTGTCCTACCCACAAACAGTATGTACACAGATAAATACATCTATGTTCTACCCATACATACACCCACCAGCGGGGACAACTGCTGAGCTCTGTTTGTGCAGATTAGTGTCAGCCAGACAATGTTAGCATGAACACTGTTTTCACTTTGCCAGCATTGATTTGCAGTTATTCACTGGCCCCTAATGCTTAAGACAGAGTCTGTGCTCTCAGCAGAGCAGAGCCTCGTATCCATAGTACCTATACACTGTCTGGAGGACGGCGAGAGGAAGTGAAAAGCAGCTCTTGTTTTCCCTCTTTGTCTTCACAACAAACTGGCCTCTGTGGTAGAGACTTGCAGGGAGCTGAAAGTGGGAGTCACTTTGTATTTGACCAACAGGACCAGTCCAGATTTGTCGAGATTTATTGCCCTCCCCCAGAAAACAAAAGGGGGAAAGGATTTCTTTCAAAAAAGCATTTTCTTAGCATTTATTTCTTACCTTTATGTCAATATTTGAGTGAATGCGAGAGTCACTGCTGCTGTCATTTACAGCTGCACTAGTTTCTATAAAAAATCCTTCATTCCCACTGCAATAACCACCCTGAACAAAATGAAATAAGACACTGAACAGTACATTTTATCAACAATTCTTTTAGACGTCTGTGCTTTGTGAGCTTGTGTCTCAAGTGTGTTTTCATATGTGTTGTATTTTTATTGTTGGAGCCTTGTCAGAGGAGAATTTCTGTTTGTATTTGGGACAGACGATAAAATCTATCTATCTATCGAAACAGAAAAAAAAGTCTGATTTTCAACTTTTTGATAGTCCTGCTCATCTGTGAGCTGCTGCTATGCCAAAAAACGTGACCAAATCTAAGCATAAAATTGTGATGTTATCTTTAAAATAATTGTGTGCTCTATGTCTCATTTACAAATGTGGCAAAAATAAACCATTTCTACAGATTCAGGAAGAAAAATGCACTCAGTCAGCACAACTGGAGCCATGAGTGACAAAAATTCCTAAACTTTTTGACTGAACAACAGGCTGTGCTTCCTATAATAAATAATCAAGTAAATTCTACTTTTTTTGTTTCTTTTTGTGTAATTTCTGGTTTTATATTTGTGTCATGCTGCACAGTAGATATGTTTTGAGATCTGCACACTTTTAGCCAAGGTTTTGTTGTTTCAAAAAATAAGCTCATGGTGAGTATAAACGTGGCAGGAGAAGAAACCTGCTTTGAGTTGCGAGCGTTAAGTTGTGATTATTTTTGTTCCCACCTATAATTATGATCAGTGTACCATTATTGTAATATCGTCATTTTCCCTCCGCAGGACGTCTTCCTGATTTGCTTCTCACTAGTCAGTCCAGCTTCCTTTGAAAACGTCCGTGCCAAGGTGAGAACAACCTGCTCTTTAATACTAGGGTCACTGTTTTCCATGAATTGACACGCTTATATCAGCTTTGGTGAATTCAACTATGACATTAAGCCAGATCTAAGATAATGGCCAGCAGACAGTTGCCGTTTTTGACTTAGCTAAGGACAGAACCTTGATTTCAAGTTGTGTATTTGTGGTTCTCGTCATAACGTGATGGTTTCCAAAGACAAAGAAGAGATGTATAAATCCAATGCAGAATTTTATGAATGACATTGTAAGACAGTTTAGTTACTGTTTGATAGAATGATGCAGCCATTAAAACAATACAAGCATGTGGAAGTGCTTCATGGCAAAAACTTTATTACTCCTGAGTTTCTCAAAGGTCACATTATGAATGAAATAAAAACCAGGAAGCTGTTAAAGAAAACTATAATTCCATAACTATACTATAACTTCGAAGCAACCCACACTCATTCACCACTGCTCTTCATCCTACATCCTGTGTCCCGCTGCAGTGGTACCCTGAGGTGAGACACCACTGCCCCAACACACCTATCATCCTGGTGGGCACCAAGCTGGACCTGAGAGACGACAAGGACACGATCGAAAAGCTCAAGGAGAAGAAACTCTCTCCCATCATCTACCCTCAGGGCTTGGCCATGGCTAAAGAAATAAGTCAGTTGTAGCTCCACACATGCACTAATACACTTTGTAAACTTATTGTAATGTCTGTTATTTCTGAGGGACACAGTTTCACCGAGACATTGTTGGAATTATGACATCACATACACTCTTGGTGGTAGGAGGGTATCTATAGATCCCTAATCTTTAGATAGTTTAAAGAAGTATTACGTTAAATAAGTTAAAATCACTCCTCAGTGACCAATATGAAGCCTAATTTATATAGTTTGTGGATTTAAAAGGTGACATTTGCATTTTTTTCAACATTTTCTTGACAGATTTTAAGGCAAAAGCCACAAACTGCCTAATATTTACAGAGCATGTGGATGGCATCAGTTTCTTAACCCTCAGAGGTCCACCGTCATGCCAGCGTGATATAATCATATGACATTTTCAAGACTAGCGCACGTACGGCGATGACGTCAACTTCACTGGAAAGTGCAGACTTCAAACTCTTTCCCAGTTTTTGATTCATGTCAATGGACAGTCATTCTGGACAGAAACTATTTTCAGGAGTGGTATCGATAAACAGAAAGAAAGCCACACCTGCTTCGTATATAGTTGCAAATATTTGTATTTAGGTTGATTTATATCACATTTACCTTTTCATGTTCATATCTGCAACCTGTAGTTACATTTTCAACTTTCAAAATGCTTCAATAAGCATGTTTGTGTTTTTTTTTTGTAATAAATAATACATCACTTCAGATCTGATGGAGCCCAGATGTGAATATAGTAGGTTAAAGTGAAACAATAATAGTCAGATTGTAAAGGTGATGCTGTACTGAAAAAAGATCCCAAACTTGGGCAACATGTTTCCATGTGGTATATAAAGACAAAACTAAAAGTAAGGGTTAACATTGCATTTAGTTACATTTTACATTCAGTTGTTGGGTTTGACTGATGTTTGTCTGAAACTGAAAGATTTTGGACATGATGCCATTTGTATTTTCTGCACTGATCAGTTGTAGTTGATCAACGTTGTGATCACTTGACTTAAGTTTGTGGTTAATTTGTGATGCATCAGTTGGAAACCACCGGTGATGTAATGCTGATCCATACAGAGCCCCACCCACTGCAGTTTTATTGCTGCTGTCACTCTATGAAGTAACTAGAAGAGCATTTGGAGAGCGTAGCCCGCCCTGTTTCACAGAAAGTGACCCAGATCTGCAATAAAATTTTATTGGCCACCTTTCCACCAAGTTTCACAAAATGCAGCTTGGTAGTTTTTGTATAAACTTTTGCCTTATGATCATGAATAATTCCCTTAATCTCAGTGTAGAGTTGCAGTCGTGTGTTTACATGAGAGTCAGAAGCTGGGATACAGTCCAAACCGTGACTTTTGTGATTTGTTGCACCTTTTATTAGGCGACCTAGAGTGAGAAGATTTTAAAATATACTTGATGATACTTTGCAGTCAAAAACAAATTGGTTTTCTAACTTGATTCTTTGCTTTTGTTTGTTTTCCTTCGGCGACCAGGCTCAGTGAAATATCTGGAGTGCTCAGCTTTGACGCAGCGCGGCCTTAAGACAGTGTTCGACGAAGCCATCAGGGCGGTCCTGTGCCCCCCACCGGTCAAGAAGAGGAAGAGGAAGTGCACATTATTGTAATGGAGAACCACAGGGAGTAGAATATAACCGTTGCAGTTAGAACTCGCCTACTTGGAGGGAAGAAGATGGGCGGGTTCTCCCAAATATCTATTCACCCCGTGTCCTTGCTTACATAGAAGCTTCGTTAGATCAGACTTTCCATCTGAAAGAACTTTACAGGTTTAAGCAGTGCTGAGGGGTTTTTTTCTGTCAGATGTGTTGTCTGAACGCTTACGTCTGTCTAGTCCTTTCGGATCAACAGGAATGAAGTGATTTTGCTAGGGCCTTGGGGAATGTGAGGGCGGGAGGGGGTTTTAATTTAGGATCCGAGGATGATTCAGGAGAACGAGGGAGGATCTTACAAAAACACTTTCATGTTATTTTCCTCAGACATTGTGAAGAAACACTACTTGAACTTGAATTTATTGTGAAATGCCCGTAGATCTAACTCTATAAAAGAAGGAGGTCCTGCACTGCACTCTTTCCCCTACACACTAAGAGATTCCTGCTGCCTTGATGAAATTTTAGTTTAAAACATTTTTTTTTTCTTTTCTTTTAGAAGAACTACTTTTTTCCTTTTTTTTTTTTTTTTTTTCATTGTCAGTTGTTGTCGTTGACGGACCGTTTTGTTTACATCCGACTAGACTGAGGTGCTGCCAAAACTCAGTTAACGGTCATTACTCTGTAGTCCCTCTGTGAACACTAAAATGTTGTTTCTCTTCCTTTTTTTAATTTCGTTCGAACCTCTACGAGTTACCATGCAGTCGCGAGTAAACAGTTTAAAGCAGAAATGTCGTAGCAGCTGCCGAGAAGTACGGATCGCAGCGAGCAGCACGTAGAACAGTCTCTGCTCGAGGTTTTAATCTTGTCTAAAGTTTTATCCACAGTATTTTAAAGCTGACTGTCGGGCATGTGAAGGTGCAGTGCAGCCAGCGTCGTCGTGCTCGCTCATTTGTTAGTTTTCAGTCACGGTTAAACCCATCATTTCTAGTCTTCACTACATTCTCGCTCAGAAAGTGCTCTGGCTTTGTGTTCAATCATGTAGCTACCACAGGAAGGTGCGTAACCATTTTATTTTTACCCCCTTTTTATTACTGCGGTTATGAAGTCTGTGAGCCAGTGTAGTAATATCTGAAGGTCGGAACTCATCCTAATGCATCGATTGTACAACATTGAACGGTAACTACTATTTTATTTTGAAGTGAGCAATGATCAAACTCCGAGCTCCGAGGGAACCACTAAATCTGGACTCAACATTTTATCAGTGTTTCTTTGGCACAGAGGAATCAGACACAAATTTACTTTCTTACTAAATGTGGTTTCATTTTCACATAGTAATGTGCTGATTTTTTTTTTTTAAAGCAAATAAATTCATTCAAAATGCTCTGTTGCACTTCTGTCCTCTGTTCATTCAACAGTTTTGGGAAATAATATATATATCAGACTGAAACTCAGGATTTTTTTTCTCTATCACAAATGTGTCCAACAGTTAAAAAAAAAAACTGATTTACGATTAAAAAACTTTAGAGAAGAAGCAAATTCTCACATTTTAAACCCTGGAACCAACAAAATTGTAGCATTTTTAGCTCATAGTATGTCAGCACTGGTCGATTCATGACTTGTTGTCGTGTCAGTGTTAGATTCACAAACTATCAGAGGCTTTTCTTTCAGCTTTAGTTGTACTGTGACGTGATAATTAGTGAATATTACCATAGTGACACTAACATGATGAACATCGTAATCACACCAGCTAAACCTCCTAATGTCAGCAGCATGTTGTGCTGTAAAAAACCTGAAACTGTTCTTTTTCATTTTACAGATTTAATCAGTATTAATACAAGACAATATCAATAATATGATTGAACTGACTGAATCTACACATCTAGTAGAAAATCACATTAAAAAATACACATTGAATATACACTGCCTGGCCAAAAAAAAAGTCGCCACCTGGATTTAACTAAGCAAATAGGTACGAGCCTCCTATTGGATAATTACTGCACGGGCGATTATCTTTCAGCTGGCAACAAGTTATTTAACCCCAACTGGTGCAATGACTTGCTTCTCATTTCCTAAACAACCATGTCGAAAGACACATCCCGTGGTCATGGAAAAGATGTTAGTCTGTTTGAGAAGGGTCAAATCATTGGCATGCATCAAGCAGAGAAAACATCTAAAGAGATTGCAGAAACTACTAAAATTGGGTTAAGAACTGTCCAACGCATTATTAAAAACTGGAAGGATAGTGGGGACCCATCATCTTCAAGGAAGAAATGTGGCCGGAAAAAAATCCTGAATGATGGTGATCGGCGATCACTTAAACGTGTGGTGAGATCAAATCGAAGAAAAACAACAGTAGAGCTCAGGGCTATGTTTAATACTGAAAGTAAGAGCATTTCCACACGCACAATGCGAAGGGAACTCAAGGGATTGGGACTGAACAGCTGTGTAGCCTTAAGAAAACCACTAATCAGTGAGGCTAACTGGAAAAAAAGGCTTCAATTTTCTAGGGAGCATAAAGATTGGACTGTGGAGCAATGGAAGAAGGTCATGTGGTCTGATGAGTCCAGATTTACCCTGTTCCAGAGTGATGGGCGAGTCAGGGTAAGAAGAGAGGCAGGTGAAGTGATGCACCCATCATGCCTAGTGCCTACTGTACAAGCCTGTGGGGGCAGTGTTATGATCTGGGGTTGCTGCAGTTGGTCAGGTGTAGGCTCAGCAACAGTATGTGCTCAAAGAATGAGGTCAACTGACTACCTGAATATACTGAATGACCAGGTTATTCCATCAATGGACTTTTTCTTCCCTGATGGCACAGGCATATTCCAAGATGACAATGCCAGGATTCATCGGGCTCAAGTTGTGAAAGACTGATTCAGGGAGCATGACACATCATTTTCACACATGGATTGGCCACCACAGAGTCCAGACCTCAACCCCATTGAGAATCTTTGGGATGTGCTAGAGAGGGCTTTGCGCAGCGGTCAGATTCTACCATCATCAATGCAAGATCTTGGTGAAAAATTAATGCAACACTGGATGGAAATAAATCTTTTGACATTGCAGAAGCTTATCGAAACAATGCCACAACGAATGTGTGCCGTAATCAAAGCTAAAGGCGGTCCAACAAAGTATTAGAGTGTATGACCTTTTTTTTTTGGCCAGGCAGTGTACATAAAATCTTCATTTAAAAAGAAATAGACATTTTTTGACAAATGAAAAAACAAAGTTGAAATACATTTTTAAATTCTTCATAATTTCAAAACTATTTCCTTCTTATTTAATAAATGAACATTGCAAAAATATTTCTAAAGTTAGGTTCTTCCATTTTACAATGATTTGTAAAAATGAGAGAAATCTCGTATATTTACAGTTTGTCACAACAAAATACTGAATTGTTTTCACAAATGTACGACATCTTTGTCAATCTTGTTTAATTTAACATTGTACATACATAATTAGATATTATAGTTCATTTGATTGTATTCATACATGTAAATACTCTTCATTAAATACACGTGATTTTGCATAAGATTAAGGCGAGATGCATTTTTGTTTATTTATTTTAATTATGCAAAATTACTGGCTTTTTATGAATTGTTTTTCCCCCATTATTTTTCTTTTTTTTTCAGCTGATTGCATGTTGTCCTTTTTTCACAGTGTAGCCCCATTAAGGCTGTCACAATATCAAGCTTTTACTACATGATTATAATAGCCTAAAGCAGTGGTTCTCAAACTGGGGGTCGGGACCCCCATGAGGGTCCCACGATCATAGTAAAAAAATACAAATAAAATAAAGCCTACATTTATCAAAGAAATGTGTATTAAGGCTGTCAAAATTAAAAGTGTATACATCTTCCCACTCCTTTATCATTAATATTAGGATTTGATTATGTGATATTATTCTTTTTTGCTCTTTTTTAAATTCTTTTCTTTTGTTTTTGTTTTTTTCCCCCCTTTCATTTGTTGGAAATGCATTGAATTGATTCATTCATTCAAAAGAAAAGCAACGTGTTAATGTAAAGAGATTAATCTGTGGAATAAACACACTCATTTTTAACGCATTTATGCAAAGTTATTACTCGTGATATATTAAAAATTCAAATTGGGGGGGCACAAACACAAACTTATGTTATCTTGGGGTTTGTGGCTCAAAACGCTTGAGAACCACCGACCTAAAGGATTCACAATGACAATATTAATGTGATGTCTCTAAAAAATAATGATAAACCTGAAATCAGTTTCATGTTTAATGCTGTTTACTGTGTGTGGTATATGGTGAATAATACGCCTGTTAAATACCAGGATGTTGGAATTTGCTTAAAGCACTGCTGTGACCCAGTAGCTGCTGGTCTGGCTGTAGATTCTGTCAACTCTGATCAACTGCTGAAGCAAATCAAAGTTCTGTTTATTTGCTCACTATATGAGTAATCAACTAACCATTTCAGAGTTATGTATACGTCTCTGTTGCAGGATTGGTGTATGAGCAGTATTTTTGGTGGGCTAATCAGCTCTGTTTGGACTAAAACATATTATTTGTGGTCCGTTTATTTATTGTCTTGATCAGCACAGAGAGTTCAGGACTTCTTCATAGATGGCTGGATGTGGATGTCCATCGGTCAAACACCAGCTTAGCAGAAACCGCATCTTCAACTCCCATCCCTGTTGTAAAAAAGGGGAAAAAAAAGAAAAACTCTGACTGTGATGAAGTGGCAAAACAACTGCCGTGAACTCGGCCTTCATCAGCCTATCGAGGGATTTGAACACGGTGGTCTTCTCTCTGTGGGCAGGTTTCGTCCCGTTGATAACGTCTCCAAGTTCTGCAAACACTTCAGCCTGCAAACAAACAGAAACACATAGATGTTGTCTACAAACGGAGGAGTTCGCAACTAAAAGTCACAGTGACAGACCGACCCCTGAGAGGATGACGTCCCCAGACTCAGCCATGGCTCCGTCCCTGCTATCAGCGTAGACCACAGCCGTCTTCATCAGCTCATCGTCCAGCTCCCGCCAGTCTGGCCTGCAGGCTCCCACCGCTGCTCCACACAGAGGCACAGCCAGAGTATGACTATATAATACTGTTGATGCTGCTGATTTTATAGGAACTAACTCACTAAATCAACCAATAAATGTTACTTTAAATTAAATAAATATGGATAGAAAATTATTCCTGGATTAAATAAATAAGGCAATAAATGTATAAATTGTAAATATTATTACTGTTTTACTGTATAACAGTCTTGATCTGCTACATTGACTTTTTATTTGTCTTCTGATTTTATTCTGAAATTTAAAAACAGCACTTAAAATCTGTCTTTTTCTGTCTCCACTAATTTTCCTCTTTGCTTTTGCTTGTGTGTGTGTGAATTATTCCTCCTCACCTGCCACATGGGCTCCTGGTTTGACCCACTGACCGAACAGCACCGGCTCAGTACTCAAGGTTACCGTTACTATGGCGTCGGCTCCCCTCACCGCCTCCTCCACTGAGCCACAGGCCCTCGCTGCACCGCCGACTGAGCGGACAAACCTCTCCGCTCCCTCCATTGTGCGGCCGCACACTCGAACCTGAGGTCGAGGTCCAGGAAAAAGATGAACAACTAAACATTATCAAAGAATACTCCAGTAATCAGTAAGAAAATCAGCATCGATCACTCCAAAGGTATGTTAAGAGGAAAATGGAGCAGCATGTGATAGAAACTGTGATGTTAAATAAGGAAAAGTTTTAGTCTGGGGTTATGTGACAATGGTGGTACAGAAAACTTTGTACAGACAGAATGAAGAATGGGTTAAATATCAACAAAATGTGATGATAATCTCATGCAGTCTAGAGAGAAGCTGACATATTTTTAATGTCTAATAGTTGCAGGAGTTGTAGTTCATCAATCAACAGATATGTTCAGCAAGTTCATTAAACACACAAGACCGTTCAAAAACAGATACACTTCTATTAAGAGCTGCCATTTAAACCTTCATGAACCATTTGCCACTGTACCTCTTTGAATGAAAATATCTCAGTGAAGACATTATAATGACTCAGGGCCTGTTTGCCGGTGCCCAGGATGGCCAGAACTTCTGCTCCAGGACGCATCAGCAGCTGTGCCACACACCAGGATAGAACAAAGGGTTAAAACTCAAAACAGTGCAGGACCAGAGAACAGGAAGTGTAAATAGATGTTTTTAAAAAGTGCCTTTGCAGAGATAGCTGAGACTGCAGCGGTCCTCATGGCCGTGATGACTTCTCCATCCATGACCTGCAGGTTGGAAACATGTCATGAGTTTCTGAAGTCAACCTTTATCATTTTTTTATGTTACATGTAACACTTTAACTCACAGCCTTGACGTTCCCGTACTGTGGATCCAGCAGCACCACTGTGGCTTGAACACCTGGTAAAGAGGAACCGGCCTCCCTCTTGTAGAAACACACCAACTTTGTGGACAGAACTCCATCATTCTCCATGTATGTTGGCATCAGACCAAGAAACCTGCAGTATAAAATAGAAGTGAAATCCCCCCTGTGCAAAATCATCCATCCATCCATTATCTATACACCGCTTAAGCCAGGGGTGTCCAATCCTGGTCCTCGAGGCCACAATCCTGCAAGTTTTAGATGTTTCCCTCTTGATTCAATCGATCAGCTCATCATCAAGCTCTGCAGAAGCCTGATAACGATCCTGATCTACATCATGGCTCCGTATGGAAACAAACTGCCAGAGTAATGGAAATATCTGGTTGTTAGGCTTCACAGTGATGGTAAAGGATACCAGTGGATCAGTGACTAACTTCAAATCAAAATACAGCAAACAGGAAATATAGAATGAGCCGTAGTACCGCTAATCAGAGCCATGGAGGTTGTCCTCCTAAAATAATGCCACAGACAGTGCACCACTTTCACAGTCTTGCTCTGAAAAACAGGTGCTTCAGGTTTGGAACAGGAGTTATCAATGGAAATCTGAGTTTGTGTAGAATATTGCGCAACGTGAGCCTCTATAGAAGGCCTCCAAGAAAATAAACCCTTGGATGCTCTTTGGCACTAAACTGCAGAAGTAAACTTGCAGTAAAAGAAAGCTGATGACTATTAGGAGCACATTGTTTGCTTTAATTACATTTGTTGGGCTCACGTGGAGCATGTTTGTTGTGAACCTGGTGTGGGCTACCCACATTGAATGCTTGGTCCTGACAGTGAAGCACAGGTTAGGGAATGTGATGATATGGAGCTGCATGAGTGCAAAAGGTAGTGCGGAGATGTCATGTCATTTATAGATGCTGCTATGAAAATCTGTGGATAAAATACTGGCTGACAGGATGACTCCCAGTCTGCAGGGGTTTGGCAGAAGAGGAATAATCCTGCATGATAACAGATCAAAACACACTGCCAAAACCACACAGGAGTTTCTGAAGAGGAAGAAAATAATTGCTCGGTGATGTATATGGCTGAGTTGAATCCAATAAATCACACTTGACAGAGAAAGGTAGAGCAACACAAGCCCTCCAGCAACGAACAGCTGGAAAGAATATTCTCTGAAGAATGGCAGAAGAGATTTAGTATCCTCCATGCTGAGGAGGAATAAACCTGTCATCAAAAATAAAGTTTAGTATAAGAAGTATTGATTAAACAAAACACTGATTAAGTAACTTTTGTTGTGTTGACTTTCTATGTGGAGCCTTTTTTTAACACAGTAAATCTAAACTGTCCTTTTTAAACTTTAAATAAGAGCTAGAAGCAATGCAATTATTAAGAAATGATGCAATCTTGCAGTGACTTCTCTTATATATTCTGCACAAGCGAAGAGTGTCTGGCAGCAACAGTCTGTTACTGTTTGCTGGTGAGTCATTTGTAAGCAGAAGACAGGCCTACCACAGTCTAAGAGGCCTACCCGCTGTGTTTCTGCAGCGGCACCGTGGAGCGCACAGGCTGAATCACCTCAGCACTGTCTCGGGTGGAGAATTTGCCCAAGGCCTCCTCCAGACGAGGGATCAGGTCTCTGTACCGCAACAGGCGCTCCACTTCCTGCTCCCATATGATAACAGGAGGCCCAGCCATGACTTCTGCTGCTGCTGCTCCTCACACTTAGATTAGTAACTGTGTGTGTGTTTGGTACAAAGTCCGAGCCTCTGTCCACAGTCAGCAGAGTCTGAGCCGCGTTCAAGACCTGCAGTGAAACTCTTTCAACAGTGTGGTGGTGAGAGGAGGAGCTGCAGAGGAGGAGTTAACATGAGAGAAGAGTCAGTGTTAGATTGGGTGTGTTGTGACATGAGAGGAGTGCAGAACAAAATAGAAACGCACAAGTAGTATGATACTGTAGCTTCTTTGCAAAGATGATAAAGCCTGCTTGGTAAAGATGTTAAGTGTTTGTTGCAGACAGTGTAGTAGAAGAAGTATTTGGATTATTCAGTACAAGGACCCTTGAATAAATACTCCATTCCAAGCAAAAGTCTTGCCTAAAAAATCCCACTTAAAGGGAAAAAAGTACAAGCAGCAAAATGTACATAAAGTACTAAAGTAACAGTGCTAGTTTGACATTTATATGACCGATATATTATTATATATGACATCACTGGATTATCATAGTAAAGCATCAGTGTGTCAGCAGTATGTTACTGTTGTAGCTGCTGCAGGTGGAGCTGGTTTGAACCACGTTATACACGGTTTTATACATAGAAACAACAAACATCGAAGAGGAAACAAGAACAAAAAAGTTCTGAATCACAAATGCATTAGTTTTTGGTTTTTTTTAAAGAATTTTTTCTCACATGTTGGATTTTTGGTAAGATATTGACTAATTAGAACATTAATTGAAGTGAAACCATGTGAGATGTATCAAGGTAAAAGCATTTCCCTTTAAAATGTAGTGTAGTGGCAGTATACAGTAGTGTAAAATGGAAATACTCAAGTGCTGTACATGTGCCTTAAAAGTGTACTTAAGTACAGTACTTGAATAAACCCTCCCGGTCAGTTTCCACAAACATTAGCTCCACCAGAGACAGATGAAGCAATCAGAGGCCGTTAGCTAATGATGAACATTTTGACAAGTCTGATTTGTAGTATCTCTTATAATCTTAAAACATAATGCTAAAATTCAAATTACTCTGTAAATAAATAACAAACTGGGCAATTATTTTACATCATTATGATATTAAAGCTGCCTACAAATTCTAAATGAAGACAAAAATAAACAATAAAAACACCAGGTGTAAATAGAAAATTATTTTATTATGAAGCAGGAGATGGCATTGTATTCTGACACAGTTTAGTGGAACCACAGTCCTAAAAAGTAAAAAAAGAAAGAAAAAAGAAACTAAAACATCGATATTGTTCTGTCATGGATAACATTCTCCTTTATATCAAACATAAAACAAAATTATTTAAATCCCCTTTCTTCAACGAGATTTTGTCAGAGCAGTGCAACAAAAATCACACCAGCAGTCTCTCAATAGCCATCTGAACCGACTGAATCTGTGGTTTGAGCTGAGACCCCTCCTTTATGGTGACTGAGGTAGCGATGACGGGGCGCGACACCCCACAGGCCCGACCCAAGGCCTGCTTGGAGCGGACAAACACGTATGGGACGTTCTTGTCCTCGCAGAGCAGTGGCAGGTGGAGGATGATCTCCAGTGGTTCAGCATCAGCAGCCATCACGATGAACTCAGCGATGCCTCTGTTCAGGGTTTTCGTGGCTGGGGAGAAAGGAAAGCATCACAGGGACAGTGAGTTTACATTTTGTGAACCAGCAGAAATAATTTCAAATAGCCCTTTTTGGTAGGTTTGTAATCATAGTTTTCTTTACATCAGAAATGACAAGTTACATTTTCATGGTATCTTGTAGCAACATTCCATCACATGCTTTAAATCCATTCCACAATAAATATCAAACTATAAAAATAAAATATTGCAAATCACAATGTCTGGAAAATTTAGATTTTTTCCCCAAATCATGAAGCTCTAATCAAATTACACATTTTGTGGGAAGTTCCTTTTTTTTTTTTTTAAATTATTGATTATTCATGTAAATATGTCAAGTTATTGCTGTTTACATCCTGAACTGTAAGGCTGTGGTTTTTTCAGTGTATTATAACATTTGACTTTTAGATCAATCGATGGTAAAATAAAACAACTTTTGATGCCCATACTTGGGTATATTATTAGAGGTGCAATGATGAATCAGTTACTTCTCATATTTTAAATTAATTAACTATTTTCATTATTAAATATTCAGTTCAGGTAGAATTTAAGAAAAATCTAAATTGTGTGACTCCAGTTCTTTAAATATGAACATTTTCTCGTTGCTGTCTTGCACTAAGACATTTTAAAATCGAACTGCTCGATTATTCAAGGAAAAAAACAATCATTGATCAATAACTATCTATATCAATCTATGATGCACGTGATCTGGTGTGATTTGTAAGAATATCTTTAAATTGAACCCATATGAGAGGCTTTTCAGAAAATCTAGCTGTTTGTAGCTCTGTTGATCTGAAGAGACACCACGTTTTACAGACCTCCAGAGTCCCAGTACATTTCAGACGGGTAAACAAACTACCTGATGAATATGGTCGCTCTGACTGTGTTGTAGTGAGAGGATTTTCTGTTTTCTTACCTTCATTGGCCCCCTTCCTCAGCTGTTTGTAGTTGGACGCTTGTTGCACCAGGTCCAGGATGGTTTTGGTCAGCGTGGCGTCAGCCAGCGGGTAGGCCTTTGGGTTCACTTGAGGTTCAGTCTGGTGATAGCACAAAAAACAAAGTAAACTCACATTAGCCGCGTAAAAGCAGTGTATGGAAAAAATAAACGAACAGATGTAATTTTGAGTTTAGGTTTAGAGCTATTCTGCAGTTAAGTCTGTGATGCTTGCTAACAGTTAGCTTGTCTGCTAGCTTGGGCGCTCATTCAGAACACAACACTCACCATTGTGAAGAGTTTTTCTTGTATTCCGGCCCTCTCGGCGAAATGCTTCACGGAGGACTATTTTCTTTCACCAAAGTTTGAAAAGGCAACAAAACGCCTGTTATTTTATGCAATACTTCGTTTTTCTTGAGCGCTACTGACTCTCTCAGCTCTGTTTCATGCAGCAGGTCCGAACGTTCACCGCACGTGTGGGGTAACGCACATGCGCACTAGGAACAGGAAGCTTTTTTTTTCTTACTCTCGCGTTATTTTGCTCTTCTTTGGCAGTTTTCATCTGCATAACTGATTTAATATCAGAAATGTAGGGTTGATAAAAATGAATGGATGTTACATATATTTTTAATGCTATAGACATTCGACTTGTGTCTTAAAAGTGTGTCTTGCATTTTTTTGGGGTAAATATCAATTCAATCGCCCACGAAAAACGGTTTTATTTACAGGGAGCGAACAGGATTCTGTGAAGTACGCTACACTTTCAAAGAATATCCTTAGAGTTGTTACAAGGAATTGCTCCGGGTGTATGAAATACGATGTTATTGCTAACTAAAATGCACATATATAAATTATAAGCAATGTATAATTATAGCAGGACATTTCAATGAGGAAAACCAGCATTGGCGCGCTCAAAAGTTCTTCAGAGATTTCCGAGTTAAAATAGTTCATTTTCACTTACTATATTAGCTTATGGCAGATCACAAGCAAGTAGTATACCATGAGGGCACCATAGCATCAATTAAAATAAAGTTAAAACAAAAAGACACAAAATTAATGAAAGCAATAAAACTTTCAAAGTAAAGGCAAGTCCCTGTTATTTATGTAGCAGTAGAGAAATAATTAATAGTTGGCTACAAATACTATTGGTGTTAGAAATTTAGCGAACTATTTATCTAACTATTTGTATACTAGGGTGAAAATCTTGTATGAATTATTTATAATGAGGTATTTGTTAGGCACACTCAAAACACAAAACCTTCTCTTATGTCATATATAAAAAGGGATCAATAAAGTTCTATTCTATTCTATATTATCGGAAAAATGTTTTTTTTTATGCTGAGACATGTGGAAACAAAACAATGTCAGTTTTAAGGGTAGTAAACAGTAAATATACAAAGTCTGTCCAGAGGGTAAAAAAGTGACCCATAAATAAGTGTTAAATCTGTATTAATCTGCTTTAATTAAAGAGTTTGTCCATATTTTTTGTGTAACTGCGTTCATCTCCGTGGCAACAGAGGGCGCTCTCTCATTGGCTCTGCTGTATATCTGTCAGCAAGGGGCGCGCTGTGCATTCTGGGTAGGACACTTTGAGGCCAGCCATATTGCTCCATCGACCTGGGTGAAGGAGAGAGCGGAGATGAAGGGGATTCGGGCAATCAGCCAGCTCTCGGTGAGGACTCCGTTAATCTATCCTTCATGTTTTAAGTGTCGGGAAGCTGTACGCACACCAGCAGCCCGGTTCAGTCTTCGTTTTGACTGTCGGACGATGTAAAGATCCGGGGTCGTGTCCGGTCAGGGTCTGATGAAGAGCGGGCGAGAAAGCAGGCAGCTCCGGCTTGACTCTTTCGCTTAACCAGCTCTAAATCAACTGTTATCGTTACGTCACGAAAAGCACACATTTAGAGTCGTTTTACACCAAGATAAAGTAACATTAACCCCAATTTAGTCAACTCAGGCTGTGTGGACGCGAGGTAGTCGAGATTTGAGACAAGTGAGAGCTAGCTGACTTGTTGTTTGTGTAGGTATGAAGCTAAAGCTTGTCGGGTCAGTTGTGTAGTATTTCCATTTAAAGTGTTCCAGCTACAGTGTTCTTACTTTATTAGTGTGTAATACCTGTATGTTGGACTTGACAATAAACAGCTACATTCACAAAAGGCAGAGCTGTCTACTTCATGCAGTGAAAAAGCACTACATTTTTAAGTGAACTGTCTGAGTATTGATTCACAACACTGAAAGTATAATATCTTTAAATATGCACACTGACATAGTAGAAGATTTCTGACTATTTAACATGAGCCTCTAAGACAGATAATATTGTCTGTCACCATGTAGTTTAGGAGACATCAAGGTCCATGTAGGAACACTGTTGAACTTCATAACACATCACATCTATGGGTTGACTGATGTGTTTTTTCATAGCCGATATTAATATCCATAATTAGCAACCAAGGAGATCTGTAGTTATGATGTTTGGATGAGTTATTTGGATCTGATATATGTTTGAAATAGTAGCATGTTCGGATCAGATACACACAAAACTTTGTTGAAATGCTTTTTGTTTATTCATGTTTTACATACAGCTTTGGTAATAATTATTAAACGCCTGTGATGAATGTTTTCTGCCTGTTCTTTTGTGGTTCTCAGTGGAACCAAGCCACACGTTCTTTTTAAGGTTGTTCATCTGTTAACTTTACACATTTAGCAAATGTACAAATTAGCGTTGACTCAAAACATGTTTTTCACCATGTCGTGTGAATTTTAAGATAGCTACAGTTTCAATATACCATAATTTTAAACATTATTTATTGTATGTTTTTAATTATTGTATGACCTTTATCATGTCTTTTAGAGGCTGCTGTAATTATTTAAGCAATATGATAATATCATAACTTAATTTTCAATGTTGAAGGCCTGTTGTGTAGACTTTGCTTTAAAAAACAAAAATAAACAACAGATGGTCCAATAATTATTTCCAGACCTGTAAGTTTATTCCTCAGTGTTGATAGACTGGAGTGGTGACAACAGATGGAGAGAGCATCAGAGCCAAAGCAGTGCATTCTAATTTTTTCATGGGTAATGAGCTGGGAAAAAAAAAAAATAGTGTAACAACACATATAATAAATATTGAACCTCATAACCGATAATCGGCCAGCCAATAGCCAGTCAATCCCTAATCATGTCATAGTCGTCAGCAGATTGCTTAGTTGTGAAAGAATTATGTAGTTTTAAATGTATTTTTGTGAGGACTTAAACTACTACTCAGACATCTTGGCTTACAAAACAAAAACTTCAGCTGATGAAGATCGGGTGATACAGCTGAAATCTCCGGAACACATACTTGATGGATTACTTTGTCTTCTGTCCAAAAATCAGCTGAGGTTGAATAACAAAAACAGAATTTTTTATAGTCTATTGTACGCATACAGCCATATAGCACTTTAACAGCAGCAAGCCAGCAGCAGAGGGAGCCCTGCTAACATTACTGATCCCATTCTTCATTCCAAAGTCTTTCATCCCTCTGATGTCCGTTGTTCCCACGCTGCCCATTCATCAGTCAACAAGCCAGCAACACGTTAGTTGTAATCCCCTGCCTTCCCATGTTCTCTGTTTTTCCAGACAAGGCTTTATGCAGCCCAGGCTGCACGTAAGGTGGAGGTCACTGGGTTTCAGCCGCAAGATGTGCAGGTCAGTGGTTGTTGACTTGTTTCTCTTCTCCACAGAGACGGTTCTATGCGAGTGCCAGAAAAGGCCAGTCCCTTGCTCAGCCCCTGGCTGGCCTCAAGCGCTCTCCTGGAGCTGCTCATTCCGACAAGGATGTCCATGTATGTTGGGGACTGAAGAGGATGGCTGTGCTGGGGCTAGCTGGGTCCAGGCATTGTGGCTTTGGGTCTAAGAATAGAAATATCGGTTGTTTTTTTCTATCGAAAAATGCTTTAGTCAATAGTCTTCTCTCATTATGCTGCTTTTAAATTATTTAAATAAATGTCCAAATGATCTTAAATAGTGCTTTCATGTGCAAGATGAGGCTTGCTGGCTGACCTGCTTTTACTGGATGTCTAACTGTGCTTTATGAAAGTGCTGTAACTAAAGTAAATATCTCCATGTATCTTTCTTTCCAGGTGACCAAATTGCCCAGTGGGCTGGTGATCGCCTCACTGGAGAATTATTCACCAGCCTCCAAGATCGGTGTCTTCGTCAAGGCTGGCTGTCGTTATGAGACCTTCGATAACCAGGGTGTCACCCACGTCCTCCGGCTGGCCTCCAATCTGGTATGAAACTTCAATACAGCCCGTTGTCCTCTGTAGGAATACTCAACTCAACTCAACTCAACTCAACCTTATTTATAAAGCACTTTAACACAACAAAAGTCAAAGTGGTGAACACAAAATATAAAACAACCTCAAACATCTAAAACACAAAATACAGTAGAAGTATAAAAATGGAATCATTAAAAAGGACAATAAGAACAGTAAAAACAATAAAACTGGAGTCTCATGCTGGGTCGAAGGCCAGGGCTTAAAAATGAATTTTCACACGGTACTGGTCAAGAACAATCAGAATTAAGCAGCTACAACTGCACAAGCACTAAAATGCAAATCAAATATTACTTTATAATGGACATGGTTTCATCAAAGTAGTCTTGCACAATTAACGTTAACAAATCGAACATCTGCATCACTTTTCAGCCCACTGCTGTACATGTAGTGTTCACATGTATTTACTCGTGTTATTACAGTTGTTACATACAGTTTTTTTTAACTTGCATTTGTACCTTTCCAGACAACCAAAGGAGCTTCAGCTTTCAAGATATGCCGTGTTATTGAAGCTGTGGGAGGAAGCCTGAGGTTAGTAACTTCTCAAAAAAGTTTGACTTGGAAAAGACGGCTTCGTCACAACAGTCTGAGTGTCTTCCCTGTTCAGTTCTCTAATCTGGATATCTGTATGTTTTCGTGCAGCGTGACTTCATCCAGAGAGAATATGATGTACACTGTTGACTGCTTGAGAGATGACCTGTAAGTATTTCTGCCATTAATATGCTAAGTAAAAGGAACTTGTGAGGAAAATGGCTCATGTCTGTAGTACAAACAAAGGACTATGCCTGTGACTATCTGGGGCAGATAGAAGAAGATTATGCTGCAGGTATAATTATGTTTTCAGGATGCTTGCACAATCACAAGAGCTCAAAGCATGTTTTTTTCCTCCTTCTTCATCACTGGTATTCAGTGATACAGTGATGGAGTATTTGATCAACGTGACAACAGCCCCAGAGTTCCGTCCATGGGAAGTGTCAGACCTCACGCCGAGAGTGAAGTATGACAATGCACAGGCTGCACATAACCCACAGATAGGTAGGTGTTTACTCCCTTTGAAAACTCACTTTAAAAAAAAAATATATAAGTGATCCACTGTTCGATCACATAAACGCTCCATTTGACTCGTATGCCACAGAACTTCATTAGAGTATTGATGACATTTTACTGTTGATTTACACCAAAATGAGGGTCATTTTTTCACAGCTGTTTACGAGAGTAGATTCAGACACTGTGCTGTGTTAACAAACCGGTATGTGTCACAAGAGGTTGTGAAAACGCTGATGATTATTGTTTATGTGAGCTGTCAGAACTGTCCTACACTAATGTAACAAAACTGAAACATCCCACTGGTGTAAACTGAGTGTCTCTTTTTAGGTTAAGCTAATCAGAAAACAGGTGCTTTCTATGTAGTGCCTGAACTGAAGCTGCAGTATAAACTACAGCAAAAATGAGAGCATTCAGCATCTACTTGATGAAGTTATTTCATCTGAGTGTTGCTGGTATATAACTGGAAAATAACAGATCCTGTAGACAGGCAGATAATGATTTGTCTAGTAAGGAGGAAACCTCACAGATTTTGCTTTCAGCTGCACTTCACCATCATGCCTCTTTCTCTCTTTTCCAGTGATGGCTGAAGCTCTGCATGCAGCGGCCTACAAGAACGCCCTCTGTAACTCCCTGTACTGCCCCGACCACATGGTTGGCAAGATCAAGTCGGAACATGTGAGTACTTTTAGTGTTTACTGGATTCAACCTCCGATTTAAGCTGCCTTTCTAATGTTTACCTTTCTCCCCAGCTGCACCAGTTTGTCCAAAACAATTTCACGAGCGCGAGAATGGCTCTTATTGGACTTGGTAAGGGTCATCATGCTTTAAAACTATAGCCGTATAAAGACAGCTGAACTCCTGATGTAGCCACATGAGGCTATTAATGGCACCAAAATTACACAGATTTCTCCTAAATGACTGAAGGATCGTTAAGTTTACGGTGTTCTTCTTTCCTCCAGGTGTTGACCACGCTGTGCTGAAGCAACTAGGAGAACAATTCCTCAACATCCGCAGCGGAGCCGGCACCACAGGGGCCAAGGCTCAGTATCGCGGAGGTGAGCTGAACCCACAAAACATATGTCAGTGCGAGCATTAAAATTCTTCCTCCGACCCAAGAAAATTGAACACACTGTCTCGCTCCTCTCCAGCTGAGGTCCGTCTGCCCAACACCAGCAGTCTGGTCCATTCAGCGGTGTTGAGCCAGGGAGCAGCGCTATTCACTGACGAAGCGCTGGCCTTCACGATGCTGCAGCATGTTCTGGGAGCTTTTCCATATGTCAAGAGAGGATCCAGCCCTACCAACAAACTGGTGCAAGGTGTTGCCAAGGCAACTGCTAACCCCTTTGATGTGAGTGGCTATCAGCTCCTAACATAAACTTACAAAACAGTTTCCTCCTAAAGAGGAGCGTGTTTTAACAATGAAAACTACACATGCAGCTCAACAACACAGATTTGCTCAGCCATAATTCTCACAACACCTGTAAAAATGTCCTTCCTGTTTTGTTTTGTTTTTCTTTCAGGCCTCTGCTTTCAATGCGTGCTACTCTGACTCAGGTCTGTTTGGGATCTACACCGTTTCCCAGGCTGAAGAGACTGGTGACGTGAGTTTATCATAGTTGTGACAGGAGTGTGTTTATCAGCATAAACTGTTCAACAAAGAAGCTGCAGTCTTTCTTTTGTTTTGTTTTTTTCCCCAAATTGGAACTGAAAATGTCTTAATGTGAGCTCTGTCCCCTTCTGTCTCTCCAGATTGTTAAAGCTGCTCTCGAGCAGGTGAAAGCTGTCGCCAATGGTGGAGTCACAGCAGCTGACCTCACTATAGCCAAGTAAGAAAGCAAACATATCTGGTGCATCGCTAGCATACAGTCTAAGTCATCAGTATGTTGAGAAATTAAATTATGATGTTTTAGTCAGCAGTAAAACACAATCAAAATGGGATTAGTGGTTTAAAAAAAAAAAGTGGTTGCGATGAAGCCATGCTATCACAAACACAACATCTTACTGGAAATATAAGTAAGCATAAAATGTAGGTAAAGAGCAGTTAAAGAGTTTGACATTTTAAAAAACATTCTTCTTTTACCTACATGCTGAGTGTTACATGAACAGATGAGCATCATTCTCATATCTCTACATTAAATATGTAGCTGGAGCCAGTAGCTGTTTAGCTTAGCTTAGCATAAGACTGGAAACAAGGGGAAACATATAAACTGGTTAAAGGTAAAAAGAGATCGTTGTGCACATAACCCTATGTGCCACACACTTGTGAAGTTACATGTTAGAAATGCTGGTAGGTAGATTTTACTTGTTAACCCCCTGAACTCCAAGCAGTTTTTTTGTGTTTTCAGTTCCTGTCACGTTGTTTCTCACTATAGGCTCGTTTTTAACTGCAGTATAAAGTCCCACACATCTATGGAAATTGCACAAACATGGCTGGAAGTAGAGAGAAATTAAAAATGACCCTTGTGCAGTAGAACAGTGTTTAAATGCCATAAAGCCTTAAAAAAATAGCTGAAATTCTTTGATTATTCATTTTACAATTGAAATAGAAAAAAACTGAATCACAGTGTGGCATTGACACTGACGACAGGATGAATTCTCTTTTCCTAAATACATCAATATGAATGTATTTTTTCAGTTCTAATTTGTGCTGTCAGGGCTTCTAATGAGTTTGTGTTTTGTTTTCTCTGCAGGGCCCAGATGAAGTCTGAGTTCCTGATGTTTCTGGAAACCTCAGAGGGTTTGATGGAAATGATTGGCTCTCAGACTGTGTCCACCGGATCCTACCAGTCCCCCGAAGAAATCTGTAAAACCATTGACAACGTCTCCTTGACTGATGTTGCTAATGTAAGACGTTTGGCTTTGTCTGTGTTCAGGTTTTGTTTTATCAGGATGTCAAATTAGGACCGTAGTCATTTAAAACAGAATTTGCACCATTACATTCAACTAATGTTAAGATTAAACACATTTACCTGTTTTGTTTTTTTTCTTGCCTCCTCCAGGCTGCCAAGAAATTCGTGTCAGGCAAGAAGACCATGGTATCCAGCGGCAACCTTGTGAAAACACCCTTCGTGGATGAGCTCTAAAGCCCTCCTCGTCACCTCGCACCGCACCTCGATGGGTGGCAAAGCAGATTTTTTGTTTCCTCTACATTTGAACACCAACAGAGGTCATCATTGTCTTTTTTGCAATGCTGTTGTTCTAAGAAATATAATGTCATAACACCTCTGGGTATTTATTGGTGTTGTAACACTATATTTGCAAGTGATGCTGCTCTGGTGCATCACAGTACTGTGCTCTACCCATCTGTCCACATTAACTGTGTAGCTAATGTAAAATAAGGAATAAATTCTATCAACCCTACGGAGTTTCAAGGCTTTTGTGTGTGGGATACTTTAAAATGTGAGTTTTGAGACCTGTGTAGACTAAGAATCAAGTTAATATGATAGATAAGTTCTTAAAATCGTGGAAAGTTTTTGCATCAGCATTTCCAGGGCAACTTCATGTGCTGATGAAAACAATGCAATCTAGTGAAAAGCTCTCAAGCAAGCAAGGAAGTGGAGTTTGAGCTTTATCTTTGTAGGTTTGGCCTGCATGAGTTCTGGAGCTGCATAGTATTTTGAATGAATGAATGAATTAAATATTTGTTTTGATCAAAAATAAAAATGAAGAACAAGGAGAAAAAAACGAGTTTGAAAAGGAGTAGGAAGAAGAAGTATAAACTTAACTCCCACTCCCTTATCACCCTATGATTCATTACAACATTATGTGTCGTTATATATAATAATATTAATAATAATATTAATAATAATAATAAAATGTTCATGTACATGTGTAGATAACGCAAGGATGCAGTAAAAATATGGAATAAGCACTCTGACAGGGGTGGTATAAAATGAGAAACGTTGAGAATAAATATTTGAAAGCAGTGCAGAGTGCCTGAGAGCCTTGTTACAGTATTTTTTTTTACATAAATATAGACATTTCCACCCTAAATTTATGCAGAAAAGGCACTGATTGGTGCAAAAGATCACCAGAGTGCAGAGAAAAGGTTTGATGTTTAAATTTTTTCAAAGGGAGGACCCTCACACTGGAGTCTTAAGGTGTGTTTCAGAGGCTCCAATGATAACCACATGCATAAATTAAAGGCAAAACGTAAAGGAAAAGTCAGCGTTTTACGAATGTTCTCGCGAGACTTGCCGACCACACAGGCATGGAGACGCGAACTGGCTGGATTTTTAGTTTCCCTTGCGGAGAGAGGACAGCATCGTTTTTGCAGACAATACAGTTGCTGTGCATTCAAAAGGTGTTTGAAAGGAATAAAAAGAGGGGATTCAGGCTGTGAATGCGGAGATCTGAAGCTCCAGAAAGGCGCTTTTGTGTGAGCATGGGCGGTGTTTCCCGTCTGCGCTCGTCCGGAGGAAAGAAAAAAGCTTCCATATGGGGGGAGATTCATGCAAACTCAGGAAATAAGTCGACTGCATGCATGAGCCCGCTCTCACCGCTGGATATTTAAAACAGAGATTCAATTGTACGCTGATTTCTGCCAGATTTCCACTCGTATTTTTTTTTCTTTCGTGCAAATAAGATGCAGCGGAGCATCCCGGAACGAGGTGATCCATGAACCCGGGCAGCGACGCTCTCCTCCCGGGCTGGAGACGGGCCAGCAGGTCGGGGCAGCTCCGGCTGTTGACGGATTATTAAAAAAAAAAGGGAATCGTCCTGCTCGCCTCCTCGCCTTGAGATCAAAACACGATGTGCGGACAAACAGTGGATCCCGTCTCCATCACCCCAACGCTGCACCGCACCACGGGACAGGAGATGTGGGTTTAGGTGACTTCTTCATGTCCCGTCTCCCTTCAAGGAAAGGTGAGACAGAGGCTCAAAGACATGGATAAACTCACCGTGATTTCAGGATGTCTCTTCCTCGCTGCAGACATCTTCGCCATCGCCAGCATCGCCAACCCGGACTGGATCAACACTGGAGAATCAGCTGGTAGGTTGCTGACACTTTGTCCCCATCCAGCTTCGTTTGTGTACCTTGTTTACTTATATACGGGTAAGATGTCACATGACACTGGGGCAATAGAAAACTATATTTACGTAGAATATCTGCTTCAGGAAGTGGCAAAGGTCAATACATCAAAGTGAAAGTTGAGTCAGATTCTGGAGAGGCTGTGATTTGTGATGACACCTATTTAAAATGAAGCCATATGTGACCCCTGGTGACCTTTAGTGTGATCTCGGTTGTGAGCTCATTTTGCTTGCTGCATTTGTTTGAAGTAGTAAAAATATCCAGTACCTTTGCCAGCGAGAAGCACATGGCATGATGCTGCCGCCGCCATGCTCGACTGTAGGGACTGTACTAGCCTCCTGGTCAGTCTCAAAGATCTGTCTCATCTGATCAGGGAATCTTTTTTGTCAGAGTCCCTAAAAAGCAGGCCTTATACTTCAGAGTTTTTATTACGGTTTATATTAGTCTACCTCGCTGCTACACAAATATTTAGTGCTAAACACAACTAACTGTGGCTTTTCTACTCTAATGTTTCTATCTTTTACTACACTTATATTGCTGTATTTTTTACTTATATTTTGCTCTTGTTTTGTTGTACTTATTATTTATTAGGCTTTTTCAACGGGACCTAAGTACAAGTTTCGTACCACAAATGTGAATGTTGGCATGACAAGTTCCTTGAATCCTCGAGTTGCCCTTTGTCTAGCTGCTCTACTCTGTTATAAAGACCTGATTGATGGAGTGACGGAGGTGGTTGTCCTCCGAGCTGATTGTCCATCTCTGTAGAGGACTAGTGGGTCTTGGACGTCTCCCTGAGGAAGGACCTACTTGCTTAGTTTGGCCGGGCCAACACTATGTAGTCCTTGTGGAAGATGTTTGTCTTTCATTTCTCAACCGTCAAGGCCACTCCTCACCTCGGAACACCCAAAGCTTTAGAAATGGTTTCATGGCCTGATCTATGCTTCGCTGCCTTTTTATCATGAAAGTCTACCAAGAGACTGGCTTGGTGTTTGTCCTGACATACATCATGGGGCATTACATAAACAGATGCACGTCTTTTAAACTACGTCTAAGCCATTCTGTTTTCCAAGAGTGGATGGTGAACTCACCTGACCACAGTTTAGAGAGTCACACCAAAGACTATAAAATATGTTTTTAATGAGAGATTTCAAGTTTAGATTTTTAAAGACACCTTCAATTTAGTTTTTTACACTGTTAATATTTACATATGGTTGTTTTTTATATTCTGGAAGACATATTATGTGCCAAATAAGGAGTCACCACCATGGCTGAGTTTTTACATCTCGAAACTGTAATGTACCAACAACTGTGTAAAAAATACAGATTCAGACTTCCAGGGTTTTAAATGTAAAAAACTTAAAGAATCCTGTCCTCTTGCAGGGTGTGCCGGTCTGTATATGTTATTCTTTGGTTTCTGGTTCTAACATTTGAGGCTGAGTTATTCCAATATTACAACTTGCCTTTGTGTAGTGTACAGTAGGTTCACAGTGTTTGAGCAGAGTCACAGGTGAGCTGGTGTGCTGGAGCTGCAGGGAGTGGGGAGGGTTGGGTGAAGAGAAGCGGAGATCTGCATATTTTAAAGAAAGTGATGATGTAGCGTTACATTTAAGCCATTTTAAAGCAGGAAGGGATTATTTCCATGGAAAAAAAGCTTCTAGATATGTAACTTTGAAGCTCAGAGATGTGTTTTTATGAGTTCAATCAGCAACCAAAGGGGGATTTTATTACATTTCCAAAAGCTTGTTCGCACTTTTTTGGTTTTGGGTTGCTAGGACTACACTGATGAACTATAATGTTGTTGTTTTTTTACATTTATAAATGAGTCTTAAACACAGTAAAGTGTGCAAAAAGTGAAGGGGCCTTTATACTTTCTGAACACACTGTACTAACAAACTATGCTGCACAAGTCACCATCTGGATTTGAGCAGAGATTCGGGTGTGTTAGCAGCAAATCTAGCCTCGAGCCACAAGCCTCAGTGTGAGAAGCTGAGCAGGATACAGAGATCTAGTTAACTCACTGCTCGCTCACTGTTGACTGTTTAGTTATGGATAGTTAATGTTATAGAAAATACTTGATCTACAGACTGGAAATTGTGTTGACAGGGGCTTTAAATACTTCTATCATGCACAACTGAGGACAAATTAATGTGTCTGCATAGAGAAATAGTGATAATTTCATGAATTTTTCATTATTAATAATGTTTTGGCATCGAGCGACAACAACTGTTGTTTTGAATAAAATGAAGCGATCAGTTATCACCAATAGGATCATTCCACTGCCAATGATTATCATGTGTGGGAAGCCAAATTTCATTGATGGTACAGTCAGTCCTAGAATTAAAGCGCTGAATACAGGTGCCCACCAAATCCCACATGGTCCACATACACTCAGCACCCCCCCCGGTTATTGCAGTAAAGTAATATTCAGATGCAAAGTCCAAAGCTAAACATTGACCAAAACTGATGCAACAGACAAACAGAACCGCTGCACTGTATGCACAGCTGCCTAAGGCTCTTGTCAGCCTCCATCCTAATGCTACAGTGGAGCAGAGATAAGCACGTTGCAGGCGTGCCGAGTGGTTATTACAGGATTTAATTTGTTGGGGAAAAAAAACCAACAACAACAACAAAAAAACTGGCTGCAGCTGCATGTTGAGTACATAACAAGCATTTTTTTCTGTTGCATAAGTAAGTGAGTAATCATGCACCAAATCTTCCTTCAGTCGCCGTCGTACAAAGAGGACTGAAGTTCAGACCATTCAGAAGGTTTAACCTTCCATTCGTCATCGTAAATGATGGTGTTAGTAATTACTGTACTAAAAGCCTTTTGTTCCTGTCTAATTAGCCAAATACTCGTTACCTGAGGCCAGGAACAGTCGTTTGGGAATGAAGATGTGTGACTTTTAATTAGACCTCCAGGGAGAGTAATGCTTTCCACCTGGAGAATTAAAGCTCCTCCTGCTCGGTTCTGACATATTTTATTTTGGCTACGGGTGCTTGGTTTATATGTACAAGTCAGACATGAGTGTAATCAGTGTCGTACTGTCATTTGCTCTCCAATTGATAAATATGTTCAGTTGGGTCTTGTAATTTTTTAAACAATAATGTGAATGCCTCCGATTACGCTGCATGAAGCTGTGTGTAAGTTTAAGAAAGCGTTTACTAGGGGGCTCCAAGTCCCCCGACAGCGGCCGTGGTTCGAGTCTGACCCACGGCCTTTTGCTGCACGTCCTTCCTCCACTCTTCTCCATACTTTTCCTGCCTCCCTCTCCCCTTCTCTGTACAATAAAGGCTCAAAGGCCTAAAAAACGTAGGTAGTTTAGATACACATACCAAGTTCACTAGCATGCAGAAAAGGGGATTTACTATAAATGCGCAGACGCTCTAACCAGTTTGACTGACCAGAGTCAATGCTTATCATGATACAATGAATGCGTGTAATGTAAACAGAAGAAAGGAGGCAGGAAGTGATGGACAGCAATCGAAAGCAGATCACAGAGCTGAATAATTTAATCGACACATAATTAAATGGGATAGTAAAGATAATACACATGCACATTGGCACTGTAATGTATACAATAAACACATCTTTTCTGGTTTTGCCTGTTTTTGGGGTAAATTTTTTTTGTCTTCAGTTACAAAGACATCCTGATTTATCATTGGTGGTGAATCTCAGAATTGATGTATTGTGATATCAGTGTTGTCATGATCAGTTTATTGTGATAATATCGGGTCGTCAGTTGCTCTGTGATGCACTATGCAGCTATAGAAAACATCTTGTGTCACAGGAATCATCCGTCACCATTGAGTATGATGGGAATTAGTTCATACTGCATCTCAGTATAATTTATATATTTTTAATGATTTCTGGTTATCTTTTTAAAAAGTTCCCCAAAGCATATGTAAGTAATGAATACAGATTTCCTTTTGCTGGGTTCTCTTGTTCATGTGTGAATAGTTCATTGCAGCTGGTGACCTGAGCAGGCTGCAGCTAAAACGTTGCCTTTCAGAATATCAGGATACATCTGGGCAGAGAAGTGACAAGTGAGCAGCTGTCGATCCCGCCAGGCAGAACAGATCAGACTCTGGATGATTGTGTGAAGCAAAATGAGTTTAGCACTTCTTGCAAATGATCTCTGGATTCTCTCAGGATGACAAAGTCGGGGCGGTGCAGCAGCGAGAAGTTTGTGGTTTTAAACATGCTGGCTGGCTGGGATCTGTCTGTGTAGAGTTTGCATGTTTTCACTGTGTCTGCCTGCATTTGGTGATTCTAAGTTAGGAGAGATCATGTAAAAGTAGTAAAAGCTTATGGCAGAAACATGACAAATCAAAGTATTTTGGCGGTTAGACTCCACTAAGAAGCAACATCATGAAGCTGATGAAGGTGGGAAATGAGGATAGAAGTCTGGACCCTGATGGTGGTGGTGGTGGAGCAAAGCTATAGCAGATGGCTGATGGAGACCGATCAAGGTTCGCTGGACATCGGGACGAGGTGGAGGTATGGAGGAGGGGGCATCAGTGGCCTAGGAGGAAGATTGACAGACAAGAACAGAGTCTAGGGGGCTGATTGGCTCCGAGTGCGAGCAGATGAATCATTGGACGAGTGTAGTGAAAGTGTAGGAAAACTGAAGTGATGTAGAGAACAGGGCAGCAGAAATAGCTCATATTCACTAAGAGGAATGAGATGGAGTTAACACATCTCTCCTATTAAACTTGCACATGCGCTTCATCTAGAGCAGCCTTCTGCAACCTCCATGGGATAAAGTAAGTATACCAAATGGATTGGTGGTTGGATGAATTGAAGAAAAGCAAAATATGTTGGAGCCATTAGGGCAACTCTTCTCCATGTTCTGTTACAACAAATCAAAAATCCAGTGTCCTCCTCATATTTCCTATACATACTTGTATAAATACCCTTCTTTATGCCCCAACATGTCTGACTTTTATTATTCTGCCACCTTAACCCTCAATCATATTCGTTCATTGTTGTTTTTTCCCGTTGCTTCCTTCTTCCTTGTTGTTATTAAAGACAACAGCAAAGTTTCCACAAGAGGCAAAAGCCTGTTTCAGTTGGACTTCTTTGGTGTTGTGATCAGGAATTTGCAGGGAAATGAATGCACTATTTACATTGTCCCCCCAGCCTGTGGAAAGAAAGGAAGGAACAGGACATCCTGTGTGTAGGGGGAATAGGTCGGTCCGCAGGAGGATGTGGTTCAGACCTGATGTTCTCTTCCTCCTGGTGCTGGTATCATCAGTGTTAAATCCATGTTCAAGGACTGTAGCTTTTCCAGGCGCTGATCGAACTGGGCCCGAGGCATAATTTGCTGCATGTTGTTTCCCTTTTCTTCTCGCCCACTTCCACTGTCTCTCTGCAACAGCTCCACAAAAAAAGGCTCAAAATAAATAGATAAATGGCTGATTTTATTTTCATGGCATGATGGATACGAGGAGAGAAGCATGTAGGAGATGGTGGGCAATGTTTCTGGGATTATTACCAACACGCAGTAAATAAGTACATTTAATTTCAAGCATCTTTTTGTGCTTGTGGAATGAGCAGGAATAAAATCTGCAAGTCCATGAATTGTCAATGCTTTACACAATATAAAAATGCTAAACAGTTCAATTTAAATGGAGGGGTCTTGATTGCTAAAAGTCCCCGATGTTTATTCTAATGTAGCGTATTTTATTTAATTTTCTGCCTAATTAAAAGACATTTCAGTGCCTCCCTGTGTTTTTCCTGCAGCCTTTGTCATATTGGTGACTTGTAATTTTGGCCGTCGAGGCAATTATGTTAATTCTACACTCTCTGGGTTTAAATTGCCCTGATTGGATTTATAAATAAAATGTATAAAGCTCGTCTTGTGCGTCTCCTTGCGAGGCTCTAACTGCTCTCTGAAGATAATTCTGGGAAACAAAAAAAAAAAAAATAGGGGAGACAAATGAATAAATGACAGTGTGGGAGGATTTCATTTAGCGTTTTTTTTCCTCATTATGTGTAGTCGGGCGTCTGGTGTCGTCAGAGCGGCTGCAGAGTGGAGCAGATGCGTTCTCTGCTGGGCTCCTCATGCTGGTGTCTGTTACCTACCTGACATCACAGCACCCACCAGGCTTTGTGACACAGGAGGCCGTCAGATGACTCGTGTCACTGATTTCTTCATTTCCGCCTCTCTCTGCATGTGCGCGGTGCTTCAGTGGTTCACGCCAGAACCCTGAATCTGTTTGACGTCATTTGTGAATCACTGGGGGGGTCGCTGCTGCTGCTGCTGCTGCTGCTGCTGCTGGCAGGACGCCCGTCAGCCTGTTTCCATACCGACAGGTTCACTGTGGGGGAAACGGGGAGACTCCTGGGAGGTCATTGCAGCTCAGAGGGAGTCAACATATGGACGAATAATGTCACATGTTGCTGTGAAGTAGATTAACCCTATTCAGGACTTTCATGCTGCCATGCATAGAAGGTCTTTCGGGGTCCACTGGACCCCAAGAAAGACTATGTGCGAAATATCTGTTGGTATTCATTAGAGACTTTTATACTATGTTAAATACATTTTTGGATAAATTGACGCATTTTTGGTTCCAAATGCATGACAAATGTCCCTCTTTACAAAAAATAAAATCTTCAAAAATAAAAAAAAACAATACCTGTCACCTAAACCAAATGGCCTGGGGTCCAAAAGGCCCCAGAAGTCCTGAATAGGGTTAAGGTGGACTAAAACATGAAAACTCCAAATTATAGATATGCCAAGGATTCAAGATCTTTTATTGACACAAACACAGTTATACATGGTAAAACATGCAGTAAAATGCGTTGTGCACCTGTTCCACACCAAAACAATAATAATAAGATAAATAAGGAATAAGCTGCATTTCATATGAAAAATTTAATGTGCATTATTATGAGCCTCTTTGTAATTCTATCTGAATGCTGTTTTAAACCCCTGAAAACCTGATTTTTAAATTTTTTTTTTAAAACATTAAAGACGACTGACAGACTAAGCAACAGCGAACCTTAAAGTTCAAGAAAACTATCCCCAGTCACACACTCATCGACTCCAGTAATTATCTACAGACTGCATGTTAGAGACGGACCACCATGACGTCACCCATTGGTTTGTGGACTGCTGTTTTGAAACCTTGGTTGCAGTTGAATAGTCAAAAAAATATGTTTTTTTCCCAAACACTTTTCCTTGATCTCCATGGAAAACATCCTGAGGTCAAGGACATATGTAAAGGCAAATTCATAATTATGACCTGGCTTAAGTGGCCACAACAAAGGTGAGACGCAGCACAACACTTAGAGAATGCGTTACAAAGCTAAATTAAAGGGCCAAATTAAATACTCTCGACATGGGGTCATGGAAATCAGTTAAGTCGCTGATGTGCATGTGTGAGTATGCGAGTGTGGGAGGGGAACAAGGAGGAGTGAACCAGGACAACATAATCAAACCGGGAGGGGGGATGCCTGTAGAGAGTGATTACGCTGCAGCCACCTGCAGAGCCAATAACAACGGCTCTGGTTAGAACCAGAACAACCCAAGAGGACCCAAGAGGTCATCATATCAAGAGAAATCATAATCATGCAACGGCGAATGTTGTTGTTGTGGATCTGTGCGGATGGTGCGTCCCTCACTGACTGAAGTCACAGCTGCTGTATTGAAGTATGTGAATTGTTGAGGTGTCCAAGTGGTATAACAAGGAGGACTGGGGCACACTATTGTGTCTGACAGATGAAAAAAAAAAGCAAAGTCTGGAGATACATGGACTCTCAGAAAGCTTGCACAAGGTTGTATGTTGCATCAGAACCCTCACACACACTTAAAGGGAACACGCCTCAAAGTCCATAAGTCTGTGATTATGTTGATTGGGAATGTCGCTGCTACAAGGAATTGTCGGACAGAATTAAAGGACGGACCAGTGCATCCTGTGCTAATGTAGATAAGAAAGGAAGCTTTGGAGTAGCTTTCCTTTTCAAGAGTTTGACCAGCTCTTATCATGGCTGCCACTTACACACTTCCAGGTCATTTCACTGAGTTAGAAACCTTCCAAATGAGACCGGTCAACCACAAGCCTTGAGTTAATATATTAGCCAATGTGATTTTTGAAACTGGATGTGATCATATTTTGATGAGACCAAGAACTTGAAGACCCCCCACATATCCATACCGCAGTCATATGGTAGATGACCCTGGTTAAACATTTATTTTATTCTAAATGGTGCCATAATTTACTAAATGAGCATCATGCGGTGTTAAAAGAGACGTGAAACTAACATTTAAGGCCATAAACTCATTAGGGAAATGTTTAAAAAAGACAATACATCAAGTGAGAAGTTGGGTCATTTCCCCACAGATTTCTATACAATCAGACTTCTTGTTGCGACCAGAGGAGTCGCCCCCTGCTGGCTGTTTACAAGAATGCAGGTTTTGAGTAACTTCCACATTGGTTTCACCTTTCAGACCTGGAGGCCGCATCCATCTATATCTTTTATATATAGTCTGTGTAATCACCTCTATCAAGACTGTGTGGGTGCTGCTTTGTTACAAAAGTGAAACCACTCCACAGCTCTGCTCTGAAATTCAGATGAGAATTTGAGAAAATAGCTGATAAGGGCTTTTATTATAGGTTCATGGATAGTAATACACACTGTACATGAGACTATTTTTAAATGCACTTTTCTGCCTTCTGATTTCTCTCGATTTAGCTTTTAAGAGTGAAATGTTTCTGTCTGTGCTTTAGCAGCCTTTATGTTCAGACAGCGCTTGTTTAATTTCTTGGCTATTTCAGCCAGAAGGTCTTTTATCTTGCATTGAGTCGACTGGAAAAAGCCAATGAATATGTTCCATAGTTCTGAAATGACAACTGTGTGCGTCACACAGGGAAACACTTGACTGCTTATAGCTGACATTTAATCTATAATTCCATTACTTTGTCGAAAGGTCTATCTAGAAAGTCTATTTACTCTTCCTCCTTCCTCCATCCAGGCTCTCTGACTGTGGGTCTGGTCAGGCAGTGTCAGACCATCCACGGCCGAGACCGGACCTGCATCCCCCCGCAGCTTCCCCGGGAGTGGATCACCACGCTGTTCTTCATCATCCTGGGCATCATCTCCCTCACCGTCACCTGCGGTCTGCTGGTGATGTCACACTGGCGCCGCGAGGCCACCCGATACGCCCGATGGATCGCCTTCACGGGGAGTAGGTGTTCACCCTTCGTCTTCTACGCTCACAAACGGCTCTCTTCTCTCATTTCACCCACAAACGTGTCTTTCTGATGTCCTCACACACAACACAAGCGGGACGTGAATTAGCTTTTGGTTTAAACAGTGAAATGCATCTTCATGTCCACGTAGGATCCAATACACACTAAATATAGGTAGAATTGATTTTGTCTCTTCCTGGGAAGGACTGGCTCAGCTGAAGGTTTCATCGATTCCAGCTAAACCGGAACTTGCAGAGGTTTCAGATGCGGCCGAGTGCTGATGAAAACCTGATTGCTGTGTCACAACAAGCTCAGGTTCAGGAGCTGCAGTTGAATAGTGTTGTTTTGCTCAGAAAGGATCCTAATTGAGCTGTTATAAGAGCAGGTCAGATTCTCTAAATGGCTTCAGTGCTTTCTTTCTTATCTCCTTTAAAGGAAGGGAGATGATTCCGTCCTACAGCACTCAAAGCGATACACAATCGTCTGCAGAACCTCGTCAACAACATCTACCTTCACTTGAATACATAGCCTAGTGTCAGTGCAGTTGGATCCTCGTAGCATCAAGGTTCTCTTTTCTTACGTCGTCATGAATTCTCCTTCACATCTTTCTTTGCTTTGACCTCGTCGTGTTTTTCACTGAGTTCAAGGAAAAGGGTTCAGAAAAAGACTTTCTTTTTTTTTTTCTTCAACTATTTAACTACAACCTGGAACCTACCATACACTGCTCAAACAAATAAATGGAACATTAAAATAACACATCCTAGATCTCAATGAATGAAATATTCCAGTTGAAAACTTCATTCATGACAATAGTGGATGCGTTGAAAACAAAACAACAATGGGTCTGATGAGCTCATCACGGTACCTGATGGCAGTCAGGGTACCTCTGGCTAGCCCATGGAGGGCTGTGCGGCCCTCCAAAGAAATGCCTCCCCACACCATTACTGACCCACCGCCAAACCGGTCATACTGGAGAATGCTGCAGGCAGCAGAATGTTCTCCACGACGTCTCCAGACTCTGTCACATGTGCTCAGTGTGAACCTGCTCTCATCCATGAAGAGCTCAGGGCACCAATGTTGAATCTGCCAATCTTGGTGTTCTCTGGCAAATGCCAGTCTCCCTGCATGGTGTTGGGCTCTAAGCACAAGCCCCTTTTGTGGACGTCGGGCCCTCATACCACCCCAAGGAAGCCGGGTCCGAAAAGTTGAACAAAAAAAAGCAAAATAAGGGCCCGCCGGAAGGCAATGCGCAAGGCCCCGGCAAGGCCCCCCCCGGGCCCCCCGCAAAAAAGAAGAAGGAACAGGCCCGCCGCCGGGGTGGTGCCCCCCCAAAGCCCCCCCCAACACCCCCGGGGGAACGGCCCGGCCCCCGAGAACCCCCCCAAGCCCCGGAAAACGCCGAAAAAAAAAACAAAACCTCCTGCCAACACCCGAAATGAAGGGCCAACCCAGAAGAACCGCAACAACCGAACAACCTGGGGGGGGTGGAAAAAACAACCCAAGCCAACCCCGGGACGAAAACAACGAACAAAAGGAAAAAGGAACAAAAAAACCGCCAAAAAAGAACAAAAAAAAAAAAAGGTCCAAGGGCAACACCCGAAAAAACAACCCCTCAAAAGGGGCGGCGTGCCCCCAATTCCAACCGGTGGCCGCCCCAATTGCAAAAAAACAAGGGGAAATGAATCAAAAGCAGGGCTGACTCCCAAACGGAAAAGGTGAATCTAAAAAAAGGGGAATGAACTGGAAGTAAAACGGGGTGGTTAAGGGGTTCCCTTAATTATTTGAGCAGTGTATTTCCTTCATATCAAGCTGGGGCTAGGTATCTATGCAGGCTTACTGGTACCACTGTTTTATCTGTGTTGTTGGATTATTACAGGCCTCACTACAATACAACGCAATTTGCCAACATGAGTCGCCCCCGATGATAAACAGAGTGTAAAATCTGTCATTATACTAAAGTTGACCCTAAAAACAAGGGCTGCACAATACTGGATTTTTGTTAATATCCAAAATATTTTCCCAACTCACTTTGCTCAACAGCAGATGATATATAATACATGCTCATATTTTTTTCCACCTAATTGCAGAGAACACCAGGTCTCTCTTACAGTGGAATTAATGTATTATTCTACCCACTCTTTTCAAATTGTGGAAAAAAGCAAACAAAACTACTTCAGCTTATATGTCGGGCTACAGCATTATTTCCATTGTCAGTTAATCTGTTTATTGTCGTCTTGATTGATTGATTTGTTGTTTGGTGTGTGTTTCCGTAAGCCCAAGTCAACATCCTCAAATGTCTTGTTTTATCCACAGACACTCAGTTGACTGTCATAGAGGAGTAATGAAACCACAAAATATTCACATTTCAATCAAAGTATTCAGATTTTTCGTTTTTTAGTCGCTCAAACCAATTAGAGTCGTTGACAACTTATCAATTAATAGATGACTCACTGCAGCTCTACTTATCTGTACAACAGAACTGTTTATTTTCTATATCTGTGCGTCTGTGTTCATTTATTTTACAGCCTCACAGATGTCATATAGCTGCGTCTAAATATAAACTCAGGTAATTATGTTTACATGCAGATTTTAATTAAACCAGAGCTACAGTGGAGTAGATGTGATTTACAGCTTCAGACGAACCTTCAGGTGCAGTTAAAAAAAAAAAAAAAAAGCCTCTGAGGACTCAGCAATGAAAATGATCACGTCACTTTAGCAGTGTAATGCCGTTCTAAACCAGGGCTTCGTAATCTGTGCTTCGTATTTTAGCTTTATAGTACGTACGTCTTTCTGCTTTGATAGGTGTAATAGACTCCAATCATTAAGTAGCTGATGCCCACTGAATAAAGAGATTAAATCAATGATTTCAAACATGCTTTTATTGAACAAGCTGCACCAAGCAGTTGAACATAATATTCATATAAATTTGACATCATAACCACAAGAAATTCAAGTTTCATTTTGTCTCGATTGAAAATATTTTCCTCTCAACTTAACAGAAGCATCTCTTGACACTGCACTTGCTCTTTTCTAACCTCACAGTCTCCACCGATACTCTGATGGTCGCTGACAGCAGTGTGAATGCATGGAGCATGTCAATAAAATGATTTTTGTTATTCATGGCATATCCGGTAGTTTTTTGCAGGGTTTTTTATGTGTGGTTATTGTGCATGTTAGTATCACGATGAACTAACAACTCATCACTAAGCACATGTCTAAAGCTATTAGTAAATGTTAAACACAGTAATGACAGAACAACATCCCCCAGATGATGTGCATAAAAATACCAGCTATTAAAGCCTTACAGTATGTCATTTTACTTTTGGTGTAAAGCATGAAACACCTTTGTCAGTGGTCTGTGGCCAGCTTGCAGCTGTTTCTCTATGTGAATATCAAAATTGCAAATTTGCTTTAATATCAAGCTCAAACTTATTAGCTGTTAACTGCTGCACCAAGGTCAGAAGAAAAGCAGCACCTCGAAAGCAAAACTGCCCGATTATAGTTTATAAAACGCCTGTGAAAGTAGGACACATCTAAAGAATCCTGTGTGAAAGAAATGATGAACCAGCCTCAACTCTAGAATTTTATTTCAGGAAAGCTCTGATGATCATGAACATCTTGACAACGTTCTGTGGAGGTTTAATTGATGGCGGTTGGTTTCTATTCTTAAAGGAGGGGAACAAAATTGATCTTTTTTAGAGAGTAATGGAGCAGGAACTAATGACCTCACATGGTTCTGAATGCAAGAAACACATTACAGGTTCTTAATAATAATAATAATAATAATAATAATAATAATAACTGGTTTATTTATTAAACGCTTTTTAAAACACAAGGTTAAAAGGCGCTTTCACATAATCCAAAAGATAAAAACACAATTTTGATAAAATCTAGTACAAAGTTAATCTGATGCAATCAAACATGTATACATACAACACTAAGCATCAGCACAGGAAAGGAGAACAGAGAGAGGACAGGAAAGACATGAGGATAACAACACACAACGACACCTTAAAGGACGGCTAGCCTATAAAGAGTCAGCAGATCTAATTGCAGAAGGCAGATTGTTCCAGAGCTTAGGAGCAACAACCTCAAAAGCACAATCACCTCTAGATTTAAAAAGGGAGCGAGGAACAACCGAGAGGCCTTGATCATTGGATCAGAGAGCTCAGCTGGCAGAGTAAGGATTTAATAATTCAGATATATATATATGGGGGCGAGGCCATGAAGGGCCTCATAAGTAATTAACAATATTTTAAAGTTTATTCTGAATTCTACTGGCAGCCAGTGAAGGGAGGCCAGGATTGGAGTGATGTGGGATTTATGGCTGGTTTTGGTTAAAAGTCTTGCTGCAGAGTTTTGAACTAAACGAGCTATGGAGGAGTGCGTTATGCCAGTGAACAGGGAGTTACAGTGATCTAAGCATGAGAACATGAAGGAATGTACCAGGAGATCCTTTTGCTTGGCTGACAGTAGTGGTTTGAGTTTAGCGATGTTTCGCAGTTGGGAATAGCAGGTTTGAATAAGCTTGGTGATGAGGGCCTTCTTATTAGAACATGATCCGTACTGGGTTTAAATTTATAGCTGCAAAAAACAACGTCCCAACCCCACATTTAAATACTCAATTACTGTCTCAATAATAAACACAGTTGTGACCTCTTTCAGATGCCCACCTGGACCACTCAAAAGAAAAATCCTTATAATCTGTAGGAAATCTGTTGGAGCTATAATCGGCAGCAATTATTACTTCATTAAATTATGTTAATTATAATGTTATTACAGCAACATTGTAATGTACACACTGTTTTTGTTTTGAATGTTAGACAACAAGGTGGTCACAAAGGTCCTCTGCAAAGAAACATTTTAAATTAAAAGTGCACCAGAGAAATATACATAGGAGAGAGAATCAGATACACATGATGGTGTTTGCGTCTCAAGTCTGATTCCCCGACTTCGCAAATTCACTGTGACTTTAATAGCTGTAGCAGACCAAACTAAGACAAGCTAAACTTTCACCACACATATGTGGCTTTATTTATTTTTTTTATAATCTGTACAATTTTATGTTTACATCTGTCGGCAATTTAAATGGGAGAAAATCCACATAATTTATGGACATTATGTATAAGTTGACATGCGCCCTGGGTTCCAAACAAGATGATAAGATAAGCCTTTATTAATCCCACAGCACGGAAATATGGAGTTTTACAGCAGCAAATTGGACGATAAGAACTGCTGATATTATACAGATTCTTCCATAAGTAAAAATTCAGATATAGCAAGAAATGATACAGCTCAGGACTGTTTGTTCTATATGTAGGAAATACAATATATTGTTTCGGATTGACCAAAACAAAAGCAGATATTTAATGTTGAAACGTGAGTCAGTTCTTAGCGGTCTATTAAAACCATTCCTATGCTAGTTTTAGTGGCTAACTTCAGCTGGGGGTTGACCAACATGGGTTTTTTAAGGGTCAGTACCAATTCTTATAACAGATCAATAACAGATATGCATTTGCAGTAGTAAAAAATAACAACAATAATAACAATTCTTGGTGTCAGAATTTAGAATAATACAAACTCTAGTCCAAACCTTTAGTGAAGTGGCTGTTCATTATGTTTTACATGTTGAATTAAAAGAGAACTTTTCAGTATTTATCTGTCAGTGTTGATTGGCTGTTTCTCGTGACATGTAACCAATCGGATAGCACAGATAGAGAGAGGCGACTGCATTACAGCCAAAATGTATTTGATGTTATTTACTTGTTGAGTTTGTTTCCATTATTTGTCTGATTTGACATTTGTTATATCGTAAAGCACTTGTGTTTTTGAAAAGTGCTGTACAATTAAAGCTATTATATAAATACTTTTTGCTGTTTCAACCACTGATTGGTTAATTTTAGCAACTTCAGCAGCATCATTACCGACAGCTTCTACATTATCTTATATCTTTCCTCCTATTTCCACATCTCCGCTGCAGAATCAGCCCTGGTTGTCCATCACATATCTGGAGGAGATGTTAATGCTTCTCTCCTGTTGTTTTTTTCTCTCCTGTCACAGTGGTCCTGTTCTGTATGGCTGCTCTCATATTCCCGATCGGCTTCTACATCAACGAGGTCGGAGGACAGCCGTATAAGCTGCCCAACAACACCGTGGTGGGCTCCTCCTACGTTCTCTTCATTCTGTCCATATTCTTCACCATCGTGGGACTGCTGTTTGCTGGAAAGGTCTGCCTGCCCGGCTGACGGATCCTCCTCCTCTTCCTCTTCCTCCTTCTTCCTTTTTGGAATCCTTGGAGAAACACCAACGCAGCCGGAGACATATTTTAATAAAACGGACTCTTCCGTGGCAGCGTTGAGACTCAGAAACGCCTGTTTGTGTTTTTCTTTGTGGACGATGACTGGAGCTGAAAGCGGCGCGATCCGTCCAACTCGGCAGGTGCAGAGATCCCTGGAATGGTCCTCATCTGGCGAATAGATTCCAGGATGCTACAAAATATGACTGACATGGGTTTAAAACATCAAGACTTTCAAGGATCAATGACCGTAGACAGCCGTTGGCCCGTCGCCTCCAATATGATGGAGGCTCTTCCCTACTGCAAGTAATGACCTGTAACATACACAATAGAGTTCCATTACTTGGCACATTTGACTATTTATTTAACTGTTTAGTTACACTATTTGTAAATGTAATTTTCAAAAGGCCTAATGTACGCCAGAGTTTGCCTGCCATCGGTATGTGTGGTGGATCCCGTTGCCTTAAAGATCTGCTGAGTTTCAGTCAGTTGACGGCGTTTCAGAAATTCTGGACACACGAACTCGTTAAACATCGAATGTAAAAGGGGCTGAATTTATGACTTGTTTGTTGTTTTATACATATGGAGTATTGATGCCTACATTTCTGTGTAAATGAAGAGGAAGCGTGTTTGTATCATCAGCTAGAAGCACTGTGATGTTTGTGAATGAGCATGGAAGGTGTCATCTCATTAAAAATGACTCAGTGAGGTACCCGCTGTCTTATCGTTTTTTATCGTCTCTCTTTAAGGATCATAATGCTGTCTAAGGGTGTTGTCTCTAACCAACAATGACTTTAAGTGAAGCTAAATTTGTGATCTGTGGTGATCTTTTAACTAATTCAGTGGGCAAAATTGTGATTGTGATTGGATAATAAGCTACACTGGAAGCTGTATATAAATTATATCAAAGCTAAAATGTCCATAAGAGACCCTCTAAATCGAGCTTTTTCATAGACATTGTACTGTTCCTTTACGCGCTCAGATGTAATGTGTGGAAATGTCGAAAAACATATAAAACCAAACCAGAACAGAGCCATAAGAATTGTGAATAGATCTGCTTATAGAGAACCAACAGCCTCATTCACTTTGTCACATTAAAGGCTATAAAATGCAAAAATATGGTCAATTTAAAACCAACCAAGTATGAACAACAGAAAACCATCAGCTATTTCCTCAAAGTATCTGAAAGCAGTTCAAAAACTGAGAATGTCTGTGATTTAAGAGGAATTTTTAAACAGCAAATTAGTGAGGACTGATTTAAAATGGCATGTATTTTAATCAGTTTGTGCAACAGCTGCACTGAAGACCTAATGACATTAAAACACTTATTTAGATTTTTTTTTTTAACATAAGTTTGAACTCCTGTTTAAGTTTAGCATAATTACCAAATATGAAAAGTGACTATTAGGAATGGATGTGTGAATTATTTTTTGGTTTTAATTGAAGTGTGGTTAAAAGACATTACAAGCTGATGCCACTTCTTTTTCAGATGATGTTGTATATAAAGAATTTGTTGCAGAGATTTACTGTACAGAGCTACAAGGTGGATGGTGGTTAGCATCTTTGCCTCGCAGCAAGAAGGTCGCCAGTTTGTGTCCCGGTGAGGACACCCGGGATCTTTCTGATGACTTTCTTTATGACTTTTTTTTTATTGAGGCCCAAATACATAATGTGCTTTTTTTCAGGAAGTACCTTCCTA